GAGTGTAGCTGAGCGGCTCCCAGTGTGGGAGATGAAGAGGATTGTGAACTTACTCCATAGTGCAGCATCAGGCAGGAAGCAGCAGCTCCACAGGGAACAAGTAGCCAGCGGGGACAATGAAGGGATTTCAGGTAGAATCAAGGCAATGAGGTGAGGAAGAAGATACTGGTGAACCATCGTAGAGAAAAGCCTGGGACCTGCTGGCCTCATCCAGACCTTATTGTTACACCCATAAGGGGGATGACCCCAGCAGGGGAGGAGGATCTGGAAAGTTCTCAGTTGTGCTGCATGGCGAGAGTGATGGAAAGTGGTTATAACAGAACTGAGAGGGTTAATATTTCTGTCAATGCAAATGCACAAAATAAAATGGACTAATCACTTTTATTGAAAGCTAAATTTACAGTGTAGAGCAAAATATGTATTTACAGTGATGTCACAGTGCATTCCACCTATTAGATCTCAGGTGATAGAAATTGTTCTGATGTAATATTCAGGGACATTGATTGCACATTTCTGTGCTCTTGGACACATGGTGTGACTCTTGGGGATGGTCCTGTTCAGGGCTGGGAGCTGGACTTGATGGTCCTTGTGGGTCCCTTCCAACTCGGCATGTTCTTTGATTCTGTGAAAGAAGACAAGCCTATTAGTTATTCCTAGAGGTAACACGGTTTAATTTAGAAACAAAAAGTTGGATCTTAGAGATGCATTGTTTATATCTACTTAAATGCCTCATGAGGTCATGTTCTTAATGTAGTATTTTATCTTAAAAAAGACAATAAAAAAGTAACACTTTGTCAACAGAACAAAAATACATATTTATTGAATTGTAACACACGGTATGGCTTTGCCAAGTCTTACTAGATTGTCATTAAACAGAAATATCTGTATTACATATACCTTGACTCGGCATTAAAAAAAAAATGGAACCCATAAAATATTCACATTCTTTTACCATGGCAAGGTCAATACAGGGACTGGTCTTCTTTAGTTTCTGACTCATGACACAATATTTTTTTTTGTTCTCCTAAATCTGATTTAAGTAAGGAAACAAGATCCTAGAAATAATTTTGAATTGGAATGCTGTTTCTATACAGAATTTAGTGAAGATACTTTAAAGGGAGAACTCTCAGTTTGAAGCTGCTGTCATCATGTCTTTGCACAGAGATAGTACAGGGTATCGGTATCTGTCTCTGTCTCTCTCCCTCTTCGATGTTATATTTATAGCATCCCCCTGGCCATAAAAGGTATGGACTGGGGCTCTGACATTCCACTGACTGCAGGCATTATTTTTGTTCTGGACCTTGAAGTCTAGTCCTTACCCCTCATCCTAACTACCTCTTTCTTTGCTGGCTTCATTGTTGCTGTATTTTTGTGCTATTCACCACTTGAGAGCTATTTCATTTGCTGCCATTCATTTGGGTCCTGGTAAGTGTTTCTTTATGCCAGAAAGCTTTATGTGTTCAATTATTTTTAATCTGAATCTGTAATGCCGAGCTCCCTTTATTCTTCTAAGCTCAGCAGTTATTTGAGGGACTTGTGGATATGAACTGAAAACATCTGAGGATTCAGCTGTGAAAAAAACCAAAGTAGTGCAAAAGCTTTTTTATTATCACTCAGCTATTATTGTATACTGTCACAGTACTCTCAAATGAAGCATGGCTTACTGAGATACAGGAGGAGTTTGTCATGTAACCTCCTTTGGGTTTACAAAATGTGTAAATAACCTAAATATTTTCTAGTTGCATAGGATGTCTTGTGATTTTAAAGCCATTGACTGAGCTGAAGGAAAATTTATCTTTTTTTTTTTTCCTTCTTAGCAGAGTTGTTTTTTTTTTTTAATCTATTTCATTATTTCACTGATTTGTGGAGTAGATCCTTAAAGAATTACATAGACTGGCAAACAGTGCAGTAGGTTAAGACAAGTAAAATCACTTCCTTTAGTGTGTTGCTACGACCTATGGACAAGTACAGAACTGTCTCTCTGCTCAGTAGTCATTTTAAAAATTCAATTGAATAGCTGCTAACATGTAGCTCCAAAAACTGCATATTCACCTATGGCCACTAAAATTTGTAGGCAGTGCTCTGCAGATATGAAATGCTACACAGATCTTGAAAGGAAGTGTTACCGTCACACTGAAGGGGCCTGGTTAATGGACACAGTCAAAGTGGGTGTAGGTAGCATGGATTTTATAAAACTTGAGAGATGAGAGTCAATCTGATAATCACACAGTGCTCCAAATAGGAGCAAAGTTCTTAGAAGGGTCTGAGTTTTTGTCATCTCTGATAGTGTCACTCTGATCAGACTAGTGTAACCAACTTATTCTGACCTATGAGCAATTCTTGATGTTTCAGAAGAAATATAAAACATTACTCATAGTGTGATAAAATACCTATGAAAGGAGTTTCCTCTTATAAAATGTGAGTCAGTGTCGATCTTTGATTTGAACCAGGAAAGATGACTGTGCTCAGCTCCTGCCTTACTGCCTTAGTTCTTATTCCTATCATAGACTCTTAATCCTTAGGACAGTGAAGTCCAGACCTTATGAGTTTGAAAGAAAAAGGTTTCCTTTGTACGTGTTAGCCTGTTCTTTTGATAAGATGTAGATGAAGTGCCTCATTTAACTTCTTAAAGGGCAACAAATGCAGAGCTTTGTGGTTTTAGATCACCTTCCTTACTTCGAAGCCTGAAAGGTTTGTGGGAATCCCTGAGCAACAGGACTGAATGGCTTTAGCATTGTGCCTATTGTATGTGTGATGAATCCAGCCAATGCTGCAGATAAAGTTGGTGAAGACAAAAGGAGACAACTGTGGTACTCTGCATAAGGAAAACAGGATGTTCTCATGTTCGTTTCCCTTTCAGCCTGCAAGACAATACTAATCCATACGCCTTAACATTGCTCAGCAGAGATCACCACGACTTGCAAATCCTAAACCTAGCTCGCCAGATCTGGGAGAGAAAGCAATGAAGAAAAATGAAGAAAAATAAATCTTCTGAAACTAGGAAAAATAAGAGAAATTATATTCTACTGGTAGTTAACAAAGTGAAATAAATAGCAACACAAACTATTGACAAGTATTAGACACAATGATACTAGACAGAATAATTGTGTTCTTTTAGACTGACATGAAAAAATAGATAGCATGAGGAATAAGGGAATTAAAGAGGAACATCATTTTTTACCATAGAGAACAATGAGTTAACACTTTCCCATTCCTCCCTATTCCTTAGATAAATATAAAGGAAATGCATAAACTGGTCTCCTTGAAGTCACTCTTTCACTGTGATGAGGATATCATCAATTTCTTTTACATAAAGACTTCTGAAATGAGTTTCTCACTTGTTGACCTTCTGCAAACAAATTATCTACTCTGTTATCCTACAAAGAACATCTCCCTTGAGAGACCCTACAAGTTTTCCTCTTTGTTGTTTTTTGACTGGTTGCTTGGGTTTTTTTGGTTTTGATTTTTCATAATTTATCTTGGTTAGGGTGAGTACCTTATCAGTTATTAAAGAAAATAGTTTGCAGTTTCTTGACTTGCTGTCAGAACCAAATACTAAAGAAAAAGACAAGGACTGAAATATAGGAAGCATAAAAACCATAGGGAAAAAACCCCACAGAATCACAAAATATTCTGAGCTGCAAGGCACCCATAAGGATCATAAAAGTCCAGCTCCTGGCCCTGCACAGGACAGGCCCACTCAAATATCTTGATTTTCATGAAGCCATGGTTGCTCTCCAGTTCTGTAAGTGTATTTTATGTAAAAAAATTAGATTTTTTTTTTATTAGGATGAATTAAAAAAGAAGCAGAACAAGTCTCTTATTGTTGCGATTGATATTTAAACACCCAATAACAAACACCTCTCACCATTGTTTTTGGATCTTTTTAAAATCGTTCTAAACATTCCTCATTGTAGCTCATCTCTATTAATAATCAGGTATCTTTTCAGGGATACTCCTAGACATGTTGTAAGCCTAAAGAGAAGAGACATAAAGGTTATCATGTGGATTAGTAGAGGCAAGCTTGCATGTCAAATAAGAAAAAGTCAGTTTTAACAACAGCAAAATAAAACAAATGCAAAATAGAGTCTGAATTGACAGCTTAAAAATAAACAAACAAGGGAAATCCTTTCTGCACTCAACCTTCATCCCATTTTGAGAGGGGAACTACCTCTCACCTGATCAAATTTCCTAGTACAAGTAACTGCAAGACAATCCACTGATGACTGTGCAAACTGAAATTTAGATGGGGCTATTTTATGGAGGAAGTTTCTTGACAATCTTGAACACGACATTCTAGGTTAAAAAAAGGGTTCATTTGGATTAAGGAGCACGATATTATTTTACCCACTGCATATAGATTGTATCCCTGATTAAACTGTAAAGGTATGATAAGCCCTTTTAAATTGAACGCTAGTATTACATACAAAAAAAGCAATGTAATATGCACGTTTACAGGAAAACTGACAGCCTTCTCAATCTTAATGTTTTTATTCATTGTTAAAACACTAAATGGAATATTAAATTGAATCTGAAAATTGGATTAAAATAATGAAATGTTCATATATTTTTATTTCAGCCTATGTAACCTTGTTGGAATTGCTCACAACTTTAAAATAATTTATTACTCTATTGTAATTGAACAAAATTATTTACACTATCTCTGAAGAAACCAGGCACACAGAGTTTCATTAGTTTGCAGTAATGAGTGGAGAAGTTAAGCACGTAAAACTTGAATAGTTGGCAGTAACAGGAAGGCCAACTACAAATGAAGGGACATATTAGTGTAAAGGTTTCTGGTCATGATGGATGATATATGAGCATCTTGAAATTTAAAGATGAATCTATCTGAAAGTTGGTCACCTCATAAAAAGATAACCCTGAATTCATTGCAGTTGATTTTACAAACCGTGTTAGTTCGTACGAAGTTACACATTCTTTGTATGCTACTCAGGAGTTTCCTTGACAATAGTCCTCATGTTTGATCTGTTCTTTTTCAGACACTATCCTGTTTATTAACATCCGGAGTGTGCAGTGAAAAGCAAAATTAGCAGACACCCATGATGTCTTTACCTTTCTACCAAAGACACCACGAGCACTATGACCGTGCGTACCGCCATAAAGCACTGTCATCCACTGTAAGCCAGTACCAAAAGGAAACAAAGAGTAAAGCTGCTGTCTATGCTCAAGGATCCACAGCTTATGCCAGGGGCTCTGCAGCCTATCGCCATGCCTCTGCAGCAGGCTTCAGCCTCGACTCCTCAGCAACATACAGTCATGGCTCCTCAGCCTACGACCTGGAGTCGGCAGCCTACAGCTATGGATCCACAGCCTATGATCACTCTGCTGCACAAAGCAAAAGATCTGCTGCCTACAGTCTTGACTCCGAATCCCTCAGCAGGAGCTCAGCTGCCTACAGCCATGCATCTGAATCCATCAACAAGCTGGCTGCAGCCTACAGGCTGGGATCTGAAGCCTACAGTTTAGGGTAAGTAGATCCATCTTTGAAACAGTGTTCCAGTACAAAAATGTCCAACCAACTCCCATTGAAATCAATGGCAAACTCTACTCCTCTTCCACATAAATTGTCCCTGTAACTCAATGTTAATGCGTTTTCCTGGTGTGATGTCTTTCGTTTGGCTTTGGGAATGGCAAGGACTGTGATCAGCTTAGTTTGTTGGACTAATTCATGTGTGATGGTTGGACTGGTATAATAAGAGCACTGGCAATGCTGGTGTGGCTGAATAATGACATATTCATGTTCCAAAATGATTAGGTATGAGACACCTCTCCTTCCAAGTTGTTTAGCCATATTAGAACAGCTGAATTTAATATGAAGAGTTGAGACAGCTTTTGGGTTGAAGCTGTCTCTTACCTGACCAGGATGAAGCAGTAAAAGGACTCAAAGCTGTTCATGCAAGTTTGAGCTGACCTGTCCATATATCATTAATTCTTCTTTGCCCTAACGATTTCACTTTTATGCTGACTGATTCAAGAAATTGAAATTTACACATTGTATATTGGTTGAGGCATACTATTTCCAAAGCAGGAATATCCTGAAGTGTCCATCTTGCATGAGAAGAGCAGCTATGCTTAGCTGCCATGTTTTTCTGCTTATTTAAGATTATAAATATTGCTTAAGCAATTACATTAGCAGAACATTTTTTATATAGTAGCCTTATATTATTTGTATGCATATATCTCAGAGATTTACAGAAATTAGGAGAGTATTAAAGTAAGATTAGAACAGCTGTTAGCAACAAAGGAAATGATCAACAAATTATAGCCCAAAACATCTGCTTGCTGTTATATTAATACAAAATTTAGAGTATCGTTAGAAGAACTGATCAAGACTTGTCAACCAGACTGCCCAGGGAAGTAGTGGAATCATCATCCTTGGAAATGTTCAAAAAACATGTGGTGCTGGCACTTAGGGACATGGTTTAGTGGTGTGCTTGGCAATGCTGGGTTAATGGTTGGACTTGATGATCTTAGAGTCCTAATGATTCTATGATTCTACAGCTGACTGTCTCAGACTGGGTAATATCCAGTTTTTGCTGTTGAAACAATTTCACTTGTGCAGATAATTAACCACTTAGTGAAGCAGTGAGAACCTCATTTATAATCTGCTGGTGAAGGGAAGCAAACTGGAGGTGCTGAGACTGAGAGTTATGCTTCCAAAGAGAGTTGCGTAGGGCAAAATATCCCAAATTTCTTCAGTGATGCAGTTATGTCTGTGCTCTGTTGCTGTCCCTAACCCAAAGTCTCCTTCTTGTTATAGAAAAGATTCCCATAAAAAATAGGAACATTACTTGAAGTCGTAAAAAATTATTATTCAAAAAAGCTGTTTCTCAGTCCCAGTTACAAGCACTTCAGTTGTCATATGAGTGTCTTCTGAAACTGTATATTTTTAATAAGAAGAACTCTAATGTCAGCAAAGTAACATTAAAAGAAATGAAATTGCTTGATCGGGAGAGAACTTGCAACATTTCCAGGTTTCCTTAGGTTTTGTTCAAGATAATAGCTTTTGGTTTAAAATAGTATATTTGCACATATAGTACTCCATAGTACAAAACTTGCCAGTAGTTTCATATGCTATCCTGGTAATCAGAGGTAAGAATGTCTCAGCTGTAACTTCTTTTTCTTTTCTGTGGTCCTGTCATTGTGTTGGAGGCTTGAGAAACACAATGCTGCTATGTAAGATGAGGGCTCTAGAGATTAGACACCTGTGATTCAAATCTCTCTTGTACAAAACTTAATTAACGTATGAGAGGATATGTTTCTGAATGAAAATCTCAATATTTAATATGGTTTTATGGTTAATATCGCCTTTATGTTAGTATTTACTTTGTTTTTGCAGCCCATTTTTCTGCAATTTGCAAGGGGTAAAGTGGAACAAACAATGTGACTCTACAGTTAAATGTAGTGCCAATTTGAAGTAACTCTTTCCAAGTTTGTGCTGTCTTCCCCAGATGGCCTAAAACACTTCAAGAGGTAACATGGAAACAAAAAGTTTTACTAAAATAAATTGGGCAAATGAAAAACTTTCTGTTTTCACCTCTATGAAAGTAATGATGCAGGAAAAAAAAAAGAAAACAATAAAAAGGAAATGGGTCTTCAAATTTTTTCAATTTTTAAGAAGTAGAAGGGGCCTTGAATATAAATATCTAAATGACCTCAAGTGATGTTCATTTGAAACAAGAATAGACACATGAATCCAAATCCAGGCAAAATTTTTCAGCTAACAATTGATTATTGAGTATCACTAGATAGTAATGTCAAATATACACTTATGTATAATGGATACAGTTTTGTGGATAAACACCAACAAGCCCAACAGGAAAATTCAAATACTAAGCTTTTATTCAGGTCACTTCTTATTTTGATATAAAGTAGCCTCTGCTATACTTTAGTAGTTTTGCAAAATCTAAGTTGCATCCTTTTCTGTAGTCACCGTACAGAAGAGTGTTCATGAAGCAACAGTGTTGATGTGCAGATTGTGCTATGTGAGGATTTTATCACAGGGAAAATAGTGGAGAAGGACTAGGGACTAGATAACCTGCAAGACCTTGATCTGGACCCAGTTCTCTGACGTTGAGGTCCCACTTGAGTGGAAAACATGCCCAGAGCATGGACATAGACATCTTGAAGGAGCCACAGCTTGCTTTCTCGTGAGGACCAAAAAATCTCCGTGTGCAAGTAGACTCTCCTCCCCCACATTTCAAGTCTTCTTCACACCATGACAACTTGAAGAAGTAAAAGGACAAAAATGAAAACTGGCAAAAGCAAGAGCAAGTATGCAATCTTGCAGCTTTGCTGATTACAGTTTGCAAAACTGCAAAACCCTTGGCTCCTATAAGAAAGTGCCTCTCACTGTGTAAAGATTGCCCCTTCACACCCAGCCCTCCTCACCAGCTCCCAGGACTGCTTGTAGCTACACACTGCTTCTTTGGCTTCAGCAGAGGCAGGAGAATGGGAGTGTACTGCTTCCCCTGAGGTGTGGGCAACATCTATGCAGGTGAGGGGTGGCAGCTCTCTTGCTTAATCCGATGTTGTGGCCACTCATCTTCTTCCCTATCCAGTCCTCCGGGGATGCCAGCATGGGCAGGTTGGCTCCTGTGGGAAAACCTTCAACAGCAACGCTCCATCCTCCATGTGTTTCTGAGAAGCTTTGAGTCAGATCTGCAAAAGCTGCTTATAGCACTACAGGCCTGTCAAACAGGATTTCTGGATTAAACTCGTTTACCTCTTTTTTGGGAAGCTCAGTCATCTGCCTTTGCTCGATCTTTCACTGCTTTTCCATGTGTTATTTTTCTGTCTAGCAACATCAGAAAATCCCATTGTGTCACAGACAGATTATCTACCACCAAAAGGGCCAAACACTTGCTTAGAGGGAAAACAGAATTTACTGGTGTGGCTCAGACGTTTGCATGTATTTTGCAGGTCAAATAAAACAGCAAAGAAGATGTGGTGTAATTCAAGTAAACCAACCAGACAGTGGAGAGATGCCATACTAACTTACAATTAATTAGACTGCCAGACAGTGAGAGTAAATGTTCTTCTGAGCAATATTGTAACCAGGATCATGACAGGGCTGGGTAAATAATACACTTTCAGAAACATGAGAGGACCATGATCTTGGCACTGCTCATCCTTTGGTTTATTATAGGTGAGGGTTAAGAAGGCAGCTTCCAGACGTCATAGTCAAGCATGGAATTTATTTTAATGAGACCTGCTATGTGGAAACAATTCCCCTTCAAATAAAATTGTTGTGGAAGCTGTGTTAGGGAACAGAATGATTATTGCCAGCAATATTGCCTGGACTTGTGACAAATCTGTCAACAACTTAAAATTAATATAGCTACTGGAGCACATCTCTCATTTTTAAAGGCTACCTTTAAAGAGCTCTTCTCAGAAAATCCTATTTTTTTTTCCTTCCTGTAACTGGGTTTGTCAATCCACTATCTCCTCTGTAAAGTGAGTAAATTAAAACACAGAGTATTAGGAAAGAAGTATCTGCTAGAAAGACAACCTGGAAAATGCCTCTTGGCTAATGGACCTCATCCAGCAGCTACAGCTGGTACAGACATGCCGCCATTTCTTTATGCTGTTGGAATAAAATGAGAGAGAGATGTAACAAAAGTATGCTGAGGACATGATTTTGTAGTGGTGTAAAAGAGCTTACAGGTGCCTTTTCATGCAGGACTGAAATAACTAAGGAATAGGGTGTTGTGCCCTGCTCCCAGAACACATTCTGGCAGCATGCTCTGGGAGCATTCTGGCAGACAATTTCTACCTTCGCTGGGTGCAGACTCTCTTTGTGCAGGGAGGGAACTCTGTCTCTTCATGCACAGAAACAAGGACAGTGATAATATAATCTCTGTCTGAGAATAAGAAATCAAAACAAAACCTCTGTTTGGGAGTTTCAGAAGCCCTGCATAATGTTGTTGTCTTTAGTTTCTCTGTTGGACTAGGGGGGAAAAGCTAATAGCATCTGTTTTTTGCATCTCTGCAGAACATGAATTTAGCATTTACAACTCAGTGACTCTACTGAGAAAGTAGAAAAATGCTGGCATTGCTATTTTAACATGCTGAAAAAACACCAAGAAATGAGAACAGTAGGCTTGAACCACCAACCTTGATAAGGCAATACAGATAGTACCTGACCTGGAAATAAATATACATATGCTAGCTAGGCATATCAAATGAGGCTGAAAGATGTTAAAAGGTCATGGTACTGTTCCTCTGTATGAAACTAGAGAACGCTGATACCCTGCTCCTTCTCCTCCAGGGAGATTCTGTTCCACATATCAGGTAAAAGGTTGGAACATTTTAAAATAAAGGGCAAGATTTTAGAATCTGGTTCAAGAAAGCAGAGTCCTCCTTTGGGCCACCTAAATAATGGTTGTAGACAGGATTTGGGTTTTGTGTTGTACAGTAGGAAATAGTAATAACACAAAAGGTAAACAGGGAAATAAACCTCATGATAGAATAGCATTTAATCTGTTTTCCTATCTAAAGAGCTCCATTTGAATATGCATTTCTACTAACCTTCCTATAGCTCTGCCTGATCAAAAGCAAATGACAGGATTTGGAAAGGAGAAACATTTTCTGCTGCTTCAAATTTATTTATCTCAGCTCATGGCTTATGCAGTGCAATTCTAAAGAAGATTTTAGAGTTACTCTGAAGGTCTCTGAAAACACCAGCTGGGTGCTCTGGTGTGGTCATGGAGCAATTAGAGATTTAGGAAGAACTGTGAAAGAAAGCGAAAATAAACCAGAAAGCATATTGTGCCAGTGTTTTAATCCAAGGTATGATGGTAGTTGAAATACCAAGTGCAGTTCTGATCATCTCATCTCAAAATGTACAGTCTGAAACTAGAAAAGGATCAGATATCTGCAAAGAGGGTAGGAGGAGGTGTGGAGTGCTTTCTGTTGGGGAAAGGTAAGACCCTGGGGCTCTTACCTTGGAAAAGAGATGAACGTGTGCAAGTGATGTTATTGAGTGATGTGATAGATGTGCAGAGAGTAAAGAAAGAAAATTTTTCACCCAGTGTGGCATGTAAGCACAGAAGAGATTATAAAGTGGCAGATAAAAACAGGTTCAAAAGAAAGTGCCACTTTCATATACAAAATTGTAAGCTCACTGTTACAGCCAGGATGCAACCTCTGGCTCAGGATGTCCCTAGGTCTTTACTTGAAACCAAAAGGTTTTATCAAGGGATTTTACTCTCCATTAACTTTCTTTTTACCCATTCTTGACCAGGAACTGGAAACCGGTCTAAAAGCACCACCAGCAATATTCAATGGAACACTTCTCAGCAATGTCTTCCTTAGTCCAGATCAACTTTCTGGAAGAGCAAATGACTGAAGGAAATTGATTAGAGTGTTGTGTTATTAATCTGAGAATAGCAGATAATTAGAGGATCCACATGGATCCATTATTCAGCTCACAATTATTATATGCACTTTGGATAGCTGAGTGCTCTCTCTCCTGTACCACTCCAAAGTATTGCTCTTAGGAGACAGCACAACAACTCTTGCTTCAGCTGCCACTTCCAGGGAAAGAAGAAGAGAGGAAAAGACATCTAGAAAGGTGATTTCCTGTTCCCAAGAACATACACACAAGAACTGACCAAGGGATGCCACAGTATGAAGGATCCAGGAGTAATAACCTAGAAAATAATCAGGTGGCTGCAGCAAAAGTTCCTCAATGAAGAGACATTGTTTAGCAAACTCAGAAGTGAGTGGCAATCAGCTGTGCATGTATGCTGTTTTTATCCTAGTCATCATACCTCAGTAAAAGTCCCAGTTCTGTTTCTGTTTCTCAGGTTTCATTATGATAAAGATCTCTGGCATTAATCTGAAGGATTCAGGGGATATTTTTGTAAAGTGAGATGTGGAAGGCAGAAAAAATGAAGGTGAGATATTCAACTTCAAACACTTGGAGTGTTTAAGTAAAAAATACAACTGTCAAACAAAGACAGCCTATAGGAATTTATTCTTTCCTTTTCAAATAATTTTAGAGTGTTGTAAGTGAAAGATAGGAAATCCCCACTATCATATAGGAATTGCATCAACATAATGCCAGCAGGGAGTGATGGGAGTGATGGTATGCCCCCCATTAATTCCCTACAAAAGTGCATAATCTGGACTGTATATGAAAACTAAACTGTCAGCGAGACCAAACTCTCCTTTAGGAACAAAGTACTAGTCTGGATTTAACAGTGCTGTAAATACCTGAGCTGAAAGTTTTACCGCATTTTTCAACTACTTTTATGAAAATAGAAACTTCTTGACATTTTAACTAAAGTTAAAATAGTACCATTCTCCTTCTTGATCTAGAAACAACCAGGAATCAAGTAGCCTTCCAAAAGGTCCAGCCTAAAGCCCTGAGGAAATCTGATGGCAGTCAGTGTCAAAATTCCAGGTTTGTCTCATTTTAAAATAGGACAGGAACAAAAGTCATCTGCTAAGTAAAGAACTGCAGCTCCTTACAGACTATAGGTCACTTATGAAAAATAATGGAAGTAGTTTGCCTTTGATGTTTCACATCACTTATTTGATGATGAGTTCTCCCAGTACATTTGTGGTTTGCCCTAGTGATTGTACCACATCATTGTCCAATCCAGGAGTGAGGCCATTGCATATCCTGCTTCACAAAATCCTTTTTACAGTACTCTCTCTGGACTGTGCCCAAGTGTTTTCTGCATGGATTTCTGTCCCTAGAGCTGGATCTGCCTCTCTTGGACACCCTTCCACCAGTGCCTGGTGTCAGACCCCACAACATCTCTCTACTGTAGACGTGATCTGTGCCTTGGCTGACTCATTGGTGCCTAACGTGGAAAAGCCTTGGCCCCAGTCCTGTAGTGTGTACCACAGGCCCTCACTGGCTGTGCTTTTCTTTACATGGAAACCAGGATACAGGAAGAGGAGGAAGGAAGGAGAATCAGTGTGTGGTTGCTTTTACCCCCTGTATCAAGCTTTTTTTGACAGTTGGGAACACAGAGGAGAGGAGCTGCCTCATTGCAATGCCAGGCAAGCTGAATACAGTTGGACCTGATGAGATGGGAACTAAAGGAAAGGAAACTCTTGCTGACAGTGCTGGAAGTGGCAGGGCAAAAAGATGAGGGCTGGAAAGGAGATGTGGGAGGGGATGTGACGTTAAGGCAAGGAACTAGATGGAGAAGGATAAAAAATTACATTAGGAAAGACATTAAGAGAACTAGAGAATGGGAGACTGATTTAGCAGGGACTGTGTAGGGAGAGAACTCAGTCTGAGCAAAAGGATGGGCACAAAGAAACAAAGGAAATAAAGACGGGAGAATGAAACTGGACCAGTGTGATCTTACACACAATCTCAATGAATAGATTATTACTACATATTTGGGAAATTAAGCACTTTTATTGTGTTGGAGACACCTCTGAATCTTGGTACTTTTGCAGGGATACAGCCTAAGGAAAACATTAGCCCAAGGATATAATATCTGTAATGCTACATTAGGCATGTGTAACATTCTCAGGGACCCAGTGCTAGCATGAGTTTTGATTATATGTGTACAGCATACTGTGTAAGATATCCAGGGTAAGGGAGGAAAGACAATCCCTGATAGTGGTACGTGGCTGGGATAACGAGCCTTTCTGAGAAACTCTGTGCCTTAATTCTGCTCCTGTATCTGAACATGTAAGTGGTGAGCTTATGCTGTGCAGAAAAATGTCTGGACCATCAATGTGGTGATGTTGCAACAGAGATGAATAAACTTTGGGGATTTATAAAAGGCTGACAACTAATTAGCATATTCCATAGATCTGGGAGTTAGATATGTGTTGCTTTGGGAAAGGAGAATGAAGTGTTTGGAGCTTCGCTAACACAAGTTGCAACCATGTCAAAAATGAACCTAAAATGATTGCCTCAAATATGCTTCGTGGTCCTCAGAATCCCGCCCAGGCTGGCGAGGGGGGCAGCCTTCCCTCTAATTTACTCTTCTTCCTTTCCACTCATTCTCCATTTCTCTGTGTTATGTTAAATGGTGCTACTTCACTCAGCTCTTCACTTCTACTGGATTGGAGTGGTTTGGGAGAGCAGTGGAAATGGCAACACTGGTGACTCTGCCGTACAATTTCTGCAGAGAAATTTAAATGCATAATTACTTTGGATATATTTGCACACCACCATTTTGTTTCAGAACCAGACAATTTCAGGACTGTAAATTTTGGAAATGTAGAGGTTATGAGTTCAGATGCATTCTTCAGAATTACTCAGTAATCTCAGTGACTTCAGGACCTATCAAAACTGGATATATGAACTCTCCAAACCCCAAACCAAGAGCTATTAAATGTACATTTCTATCAGGTATATTGTTTATTTTCTCTATTAGATTTAATACCAAGGGGCATCAGTGGTATGTTTGTAATGATGAGTTTGTTAAAAGTACATTTGGTTATGTGTTTAATAACTCTTGAAGCTATGACTATAAAAATTTATAAACTCTTGCTTATAAAGTAAGACAGCAACATATTTTAGTACTTTAATTGTATTTTGGAGTTCTTCTTAACAGTTTTTTCCCTCAATTTAACAATATAATTTTTATTTCAGACTGAAAAACTCCAATTTAATGATTGAAGATCAATCCTATAAGATGAGTCCCAAAGCAAAGAGAGCAAAACAGAATTTGATATCTGAGGACAAAGAGAATGAAGCCATGGACTATTCAGTGCCCATATTCACAGGACGGTATGTTTTGTTTTGTATATTATTTCTGACATTTTATTAACAAATTATAAAATAACTAATCCTTTAATCTATTTTTACACTCATGGATCTCATGGTGATAGTTTGCACTTCACGTGAGTGATAAAAAGATAAAGAGAAGTCAACTGACTGGTAGAAAATCAGACATTGATCATCCAGAGCCAGGACAAATGAACCTACGTGTCAGGACTGTGTTTTGAACATGTTGTCAGGGCCACTTTCTATGAAATGAAAATATAATTATAACCCTACTTATTGGGAACTTGACAAGCATGTTGTCCACATTATTTAGCTTATTCCTTTGTTTTGAAGACTTGCTCTGTAATCAAATGTCTCTTACCAAGCATTAAACATAGAAACAACAAAACAATGTGCTAATGTCTTGTCCTGGCAAAGGGAAAACCTGGAATGAAACCAAACACCCTCTCAAATCCATTGTAATTATTCATACTGATCTCACGTATTGGTGGTATTTCTTGTATGGTTACTGCTGATGTAATACATCTTACTGCGGTAGTGTTCTCAGTAAAGCTAAATGTGAACTTTATGTGGAAGCCAGAACCAACATGAGCAAGGAGGATCCCCTGCCCTTTTTGGGGTATGGCATAGTGATTTTAGTAGGTATGTCCAACACTTCCAGCATAGTCACTTTTTCAGATTAATAGATACTGGGGTGTGGTGTGGAAAACTGGTTCCTGCTTAGAGGCCAGGAGAAAAATTTTTTGCCTATTTGCGGTTGAACAGAAACCTCCCTACAACTTGTCTTTCCTCTGCACAGCAGAATTTTTCATGGGACCCTTCCAAGCTGTTTCTGGGAGCCCGTGCTTTTCTGTCTACTGCTTAGTCAACACCTGTGGCAGTGAATCTGATGAGAAACTTGTTTAAACATGTTTTAAAATGGCTCTTTGTGGTCCCTTTGCAAACACGTGTTTCTTCTTCCCAATACCCCCCACAGCAACTGTTATCTCCCATGCAGGAGTGTCCTGGGAAAGGTATCCTGAGGCGTCCCATTGGTCCTTTGTTTAACCCCTTCCTATTGGCTGTTGACCCTTTACCTGATGGTTTCTTTTGTGTGACCCTGAACTTGTGATTGGTCCCCTTTGACCCTCCTAAAAGCCTTATAAACCCCTTCCCAACAATAAACTCTCTCTTGCCTCCTCTCCACGCCGGTGTGCTGTCTCTGTGCCTGCCATGGAGCCACGTGGGTGGTGGGGGAAGGGGAGGGCACCTCTCCCCTCCAGGCTCGGGGCCTGAAAAACCCTGTTTCTGGAGTTCCCCTTCCCCGTCCCACAAGACGTCGGAAATGGTTCTTCAGACGGAGAAGGAACTAGAGCTGGGCTCCCCCACGTCGTGGATGGGGAAAGGGAAACCCATAAACACCCAATGGCGCTTTTGCTTTGTATCCAAACTTGTGGTTTTGTATGAAACTGAGTTCCAGCTTGTCAGTGGAAGATATTATTGCTCTGGCCTTCGGAGCATTTATGATGCTTTTGTGATGAGACCAGCAGTTTTGGTTTTATTAACTCTCTCCCACTATCTCGGAGTAATTTTTGTCTCATCCGCTGTATATTCCTGCATTGGATTCACTGCTTTTTGATCCAACCAACATTAAGAAACACACCGTTGCCTTTTAAAAAAATTGCTCTGGAGTTTCCTCTGTATCTTTTGTGATAGAAATACATAAATAGTTATGTGATAGTCTAAACAAAACTTGTAATAACATGTTCTCCATATTCTCAAGGCTTCTCATTACTTTTGCACGTCACACGGTGCTTATACCTATGTAGCAGTAGATTCCTCATCCTCCCATGTCCTCAAGCACAAATATCCCCTCTTTTTACTGTATCTTAAGTCTACAAAGGTAAAATTTACAGTGTTGGACAATAGTTGAAAAACACAATTTATAATTAGTACTTTGCTTTTTTACAGGCCCCTGTGATCTTAGCACATCATGTTAACATCTTAACAAATCTTAAGAAATACTTTCATTTTATTTTATTTTTTTTTCTTAATGCATCTATCTATCTAACTCAATGTGATAGTGTGTAACTTCATTTATTTGTGTCTGTGCAGTAGTTTGGGATCCTACATTAAAAGATACTGTCAGATTCTTATATAATTGTTACTATTCTTCTTCTTCATGTTGTTGATATCAATCTTACTTTTTTGTACATGGTAATTCAGAAAGCTGTGTGTGCTTTTCTGCCACTGAAATGACCCAAAAAGTTTGTTTGATTACTTTTAAAATAAATGTTAAAAAGAGATTTTTAGGGTGCCCAACTCAACATGGCATGAAATGGTATCAGGTTTAGGCTTTTTTCTGTTGTCATCATGCTCATGGCCACATGCCAAGATTGTGGAAGTTGCGTGCTACATTTCTGTCAGATATTTATTCTTGTTTGAAAGATAACAGCTGAAGGCCGCTGAACCATGTGCATGTTATATGTCATTCCCAAATTCCCCTGTGAAATTGATGTGTTGTTTCCCATGGGCAGATAGCTGTTAAAAAGGAATAGTTATTTATAAAGGTCAGCTCTCTGTGGGTTCATTGGAGCTCTTGCCCATGCTGCTGGATGACCTTCAGCGATGTGTCACCATTTCCATTATTTAGTTCTATTTCAGAACCTTCACGTTCTGCTGTAAAAAACTCCTTTGCTCAGATTATTCACTTTTACAACTGTTGCTCTTAAACACTTGGGCTAATCCTTGCAAAACAAAATTACGGACAGCCAGGCAGCATTCTAGGCAATAAAACACTCAGAGCTTGATTTAATGCCATAGGTGCTAAAAATATTGAGTGTGGCTTGTGGAACTATTTGCAACCACTAATAAGTCCATGCCAAAGGACTGTAGATGGCAAATACCCTTAAAATTATATTTTGTGTGTGCCACAAAATGGAAGTTTGATCTTGTTATGTCTGCTTGAAAAGTGTTTTCTACTAAAACCCCTGAGACATGATTGATGAATTAATTCTTAAATACTACCATATGCTGTCTTAGTACATTCATCATTTCAGGAAGCACATTTCTCTTTGATCTGGGAAGATTATAACAGGAAGAAATTATCAGAAAATCTAAATATTTAATACTGTTGATCAAAAACACCTGGGAACCACAACTGCTGTTGACTAGGATGAGTCCTATATTAGTCTGAGGATATTCATCAGCTCCCAGAAGATGTTCAATGCCTTGAGGAATCAGTCCATACCGTGAAGTTGCTGAGATCCTAACTACTGTAATTAGGGAGGAAATAATATCAGTTTGCCTTTGAAGAAAAATGCCATGGATTCATTTAAACTGAATGTAGATAGTTATATTCATATTGATTAAACTGATTTTTAAAAATTGTTTTAAAACATCTTGGCCATATATAACTGTAGCTTCAGATTATAGTTTTAGGGGCAGCTGATGTGCCTACTTGAAGGGAATCTATCATTTCACTGATTCTTTAAGGATCATCTTCTTAATGCAGACCGAAACACAGGAAGCTGAGCTTGACATAGGTCAAAGCTCTGTGCTGTTAAGTAAGGTTTTTAGTCTTGTCAGCAATTTTTAAATGTTATTAAGTTTACAGCAAATTCGACTGCTTGGCTGTTTTGCATCTCACCAAACTGACTTCATAGCTAAGGGGCTGGACAGTTAATTGTGAGCTTAAATCCAAATTTTCTTGAGTACTGAGATGTGCTTTCAAGTGCATAATACTGGCAATCTAAAAGAAAACAGAAAAAAATCATTCTTCCTAATATTTTTGCTTTGTAGGAGTAGTAAGCATTTTACGATAAAATAGAGAGGCTGTGCTTGAGTGCATTCTGGAAACCGAGGCTGCTGTCTCTATAGTGTTTGCAAGATGGCACTTAATAAGAACTTAAACAGAACCTGTTTTCAGTGTGTCATCTAATGTCACCTTAAAACAACTAAATTCAGTAGAAGGATATTAATGCTTCCTCTTAAGTCAAGGAACTCTCATTGTATATGCACTACTATAGCAGCTATAATGTCCTGATGATATCACAACAATATGGCTGCAATGGTACATCCACATATGAGTGGGGAAACAGGACCAGACCCGTTGAGAGTAACTGTTCTTTGTGTCTCACCCCTGTAAAAAGTCTGAGGAGCAGGCTTCAAGAAAATCCTTAATCACCTTCTTGAAAGCATTACAAGACTGACTTTTCTACAAACAAGGAGAACTTTTTGTTATATACAGTTATGTTGGGGTTTTGTATAAACAAGTGAGGATATTGTTATACAGCTTCAGTTGTCTCCTGCCCCTTTGGTAGTGTTGTTATGAATGCTGCAGCCATAAATCAATAACTAAAGATCTGTGGGTGTGCCTTACCCTACTCTTTATGGTGATGGAAATACAAAACCACAGCAGGATAATGGTTAAACTGAAAATGTGTGTGATATAGTTATACGAAGAGGTGCTGAAAATGGCTATGTCTTTAGATAGTGAAATAGTCTTTTTGCAGAACCCTTCCATGTTTCTGCTTTGAATACATATGAGACTGTAGTAGCAGAAATATGTTACAAAAGAGCGTTGGCCACTGTGGGTGGTTAATTTGATAGAAAGTACAAAGGAAATATATTCTCATCATTTTCTAATGGGATTCTGTTTTTTAAAAATTCTTTCAGAGAAGTGAATATCAGTGGGATCACAGACACTGAAGAAGAGAGAATTAAAGAAAGTGCTGCATATGTTGCCAAGAGGAACCTTTTTGCCACAGGTGAAGGAGTTAGTGTCAGCAAGGTGGCCAAGTCAACTTCTGAAGAGGAGCATCATGAAAAAAAATCAAGGAAAGTAGTGATCCGGGAGTCTGCTGAACGTGTGGCCATGAAAAAAACGGTAAAAGAGTAGAAATGAACATCTAGGCTTGCAAACAGTGTGGGTCTTTTTTGTTTGGTGTTTGTAAAGTGCTTAGCACACCAGGGCCTGATTTACTCCACAGGCAATTGCAATAACAGTAGTAAAAGCCTCCAAGTATTTTCAATGGAAATCTTTTGAATTCCTTACAAGTCTTGTTATCTGGGTGTCAGATGGATAACAAAAGAGGCACTGTGCCTGAGATAGGCACCAGGCACACTTCTGTTGTGCTGGGAGAAAAGGACAGAGTGGAGGACCAGGGTATGCTTTTTGGTCATGCCCACACTTGGTTAAATGGCACAGCATCGTTCACCCAGATGATGGGGCAGCTGCTGGGCAGAGAATAAAGCTGTCAATATATGTATCTTGCCCATAAGTAGGTGGATTAGTAATTTCTGAACTTTACAGCCTCAGAACAAGCTTGTCCATGGTGTTCACCTCAGAGTTCTAATTACAGAGTGTAAATTAGGGCAGCATTAGGGTGAATTGTGGTAAATTATGTGTAAATTATGGAGGAACATCTGGAACTGAATCTCTAATTGTATGCATTATTGTCTGCTTTTTAAAAAATAATATTCAAAGCATACTTATAAATATGTTATGACCAGACTGGCAGAACATATCAAGTTCAAATATGTTTTATTTAGCAAATTTATTACTATTTTGAGCAGAAGAATTTGCGATATATTTCTAAAATATCCTCATGACATAAGGTTGGAAAGGGTGTAAACACTTCGAAGGACAAGATAAAAATTCAAAGTCATCTCAAAAATTGAGAAACAGTGAAGGCGAAATTTTACAACAACCAATGGAAATTACTACATATAGAAGGAAAAGATCAAACAAATGAGGAATGCCTGGCTAGGTAGAAGTACTTCAGGACCTGAGAGAAATTTAATGTCAGTCGTACAAAAATAAATGCCATTCTAGAGTATTATCACTAACACATAAAGGGCAGTTATTTAATTGTGTTGGAGTCTGTTGGACCTATGATAATGAGTAGTGACTCTTTGATGAATGTTGAGGACAAATAGAACCTGTCCAGAATCGAGAAAAAATTCCAAGGAAAAGAGATATCGTCCAGTTTATAAAAGACTGAGAGGATTATGAAATCTGTCTTCTTTTATTAATCTCAATACAGGAATTTTAATTCTCCAGATAGGTGAAAGTTAGGGCAGAAAAGAAATCATTTAGTTTGCAGAAAGCAAGATTTACAGCATATTAGTTATCCTGGGAAAGATCCCATCATGAGGAAAGGTTTGAGAGTAGGTCTGTCAAAGATGATCTAGGATACACAATCTTGCTTTAGAGCAAAAGTATAGAAGAGATCTGTTTCAGGCCCATTTCACGTACTTAAAATAATAAATAAGTAATTAAATGTGGAAAATTATTCTACTTAGAATAGTTTTAAGGAAAAAAACCCAGTAAAATCAAATCTTCCAAGCTATCGTGGAAGCAGAACTTTTGGAAAACGAAAACTTTGTTTGCTGTGTCAAGGTGAGATAAATACATTAAGTATGTCTGTCTGAAATGTTAAATAAAAAATACAGGGGTTTTTGCTTTTTTTTGGTGTGTATTAATAATTTGCACTTCCAACTGCTGTTATAATCAAGTTTTATAGTCAAGTTTATAATAAAATGTTTCTTTTCCAGCTAGAAGAGACTCAGGCATTCCATAAAAAGTTGAATCAAGATAAACTCTTACATGCTCCTGAGTTTATCATTGAGCCTCGTTCCCACACTATCTGGGAAAAGGAAAATGTCGTATTTCGTTGTTCTGTGGCTGGCTGGCCGGCACCCCGTGTTACCTGGTAAGTTTGTATCTCTGGCACTGAAAGTCACCAGATAACCAATAGCTGAGGTCATCTCAGTGAATCTGATCATTTTTCTGGAAAAGTATAAGTTTAATAAAAAAAAGTCGGGTACTAGTGACAGGCCTGTCAAACACCTTTCAAGTTACCTTGTACAAAAAGAGAGCAAAATATTAAAAGACAAAATAGTACTTTGCATAACAGCACTAGGAGTACATAGATTTTTTCCTTTATTTGGTAGAGATATCAAAGATATTCTTTCTGTCCAATGATGAAGGAAAAATAGCAGTTTAATTTATCGTACTGTCTTTAAGAATGTTTTCCAAATACTTCTGTTTAGTCTACAAATGATGTTAATGTCCCTGAAGCGTTAAAGCAGGCTTCGGTCAAGAGCAAGCTCCTTGGCTACTGAGCAGCTGTAGTACTGAATCTCTATGAAACTGAAATCTCAATGATGATGATGTGTTCATAGCAGGCACATCATCGTTTTTGAAATCAAAGACTTCAGATAGAACTGGAACCATCCAAACATTCTGAAAGCTATTCGAAACTTTCTATTCACTTGAATGGTCTTTGTACTAAATCTTTGCTGTAATAAACCAAAAATACCTTCCTTAGTCATAGCTGAAGGTCTAATTTGACTTTTGGGTTAAAGTTTACCCTGACTAGAATTGAATTTAGGTTGATTAACAGTGACTTGTGAAGTTTTATTGTCTCAGTATCTGTTCAGCTGATCTTTCTTACCTCTTTCATGGTACATATATATCGTCAAGTTGTTAGGATAATAAGTAATAACTTTTTTTTCAGACATAAAATGAGATATGATGTTCATTATTTAGATAAAAAAACTCTTCAAGAATTTGTGTATAAAATGTATGCATGTGTTTTTAAAATTAACAAACATTAAGCCTGTATTCAGCATTAATAGGAGTAGGTCCTACGGAACTTGTATTTGTGGAGACAACAGAAAACATCTACTATGTCATGATGTTACATAATACTCATATTTTGCGTTTGCTACTTGAATTGCTTAAGGGACTCTGCATTTATTTAAGTCTTAAAAACTTTAATCTCAGAGTTTGACAAAAAATGCTACTGAGAGGTACATTAATAGGCCAGAGTTGATATCCACAAAGTCACTTGATCTCTCTCCATGGACTCTGATGACCAACAGCCAGGTTCTGCATGGAGACATTTTTCCTGTCATGTAAGGATGCGAGTGTCCTGTGTTGACATTCCTCCTGAAGAGGATTCCAGACAAACCCTTGGGATCTGGTCAGCTGGACATAAGAAATGGTCAGCTATGCTCATGGCTGTAATCCAGCTCTGTAATCTGAATCCTACCCATGAACAGGAGAGCTGGGTCATTTTCACTTTGGTTGAGATTCCCCTTATTCCCAAAACCTGACACGGTTAAACCAAGCCTTCAGCTGTCTGCCTGTGCTCTCACTGTGAACCAGCCTTTCATCGGAGTGCTAAATGTGGATGGTTGAAATTAATACGTTTTACAAATCCAAAGGGATTTCAGTTTGCCACAGGCTACTAATGGAAAAAAAGAGCTCACATCCGTTTCAGCAGGTGTCTTTGCTCTGAGATATGGAAAAGTGCTGATCTGGATCTGTCAGCTTTCATTCAGCATTTCTAACAAAATGTCAGTCCAGTATTCTAAATAGTCGTTCTTTGTATAAGCAAAGAAGACCTTTTCATGTTCTGCCTAAAAACTATAAAGCTTCATGAACTTTCTCTAAAGAAAATCTTACTGCCTGATGCAGCTGTTCTGACTCCCTTGGAAAAAAAAAAGCATATGGAAAACCCAGGACATTTGAAACCAGCAGCAGAAAGTGTAAACTATCAATGCCTAATGACAGTGGGAGGCTGCAGTACAACATTAGCTAATGACCTGGCTATTCTGGAATTCACGTTTCCAGAAATAACAAGAGGTCCTTCTAACATATGAGCCCCATTCTTCCCATAGATGAATATAAATAAGCCAAAATTGAAACAATTATTTTTTACTAACTTGATAATGAAGAAAAAGAAGGGAAAGTCTTCTTGCTGCTGGTATGACCAGTTAAAGCTAATTTCTGCACAGTACCCCTTGCTACCAAACAACTTCGCTGCCAATAGGATCCAAGCGTTGCCCAGCCCTTTGGAGAAAAATTAAAGAGATTTTGGAGTCAAGTCCTGTTTTCCAGGATTTCATATTCCCTGGAAAATATTAGGAACTGATGGCACTATTCTATTTTCTAAACTATTTGACACACTAGATGGAATGTAAAGGCTCCCAGGTGTTCCCAGGCAGATCAGTCTCAGGGGGGCACCACCTCACAAATGAAGTGAAGAGTGGTGGGGAATGGATTACTCTTGCTGAACCCATATATTATTCTTCGTCTAAGCCAGGATAATAGAGTAGGAGATCTGTACTGAGGTCAGGCATCTCTGCAACTGGTTGATGTACAGAATAGAGAGTATTGCCCTGCATTGAGTCCCTTTTCATAGACACTTTGCTGAGAAGAAGATCGGGATAAAAATCATCAGGGTTTACGTTCCTTGCTGACTTCTGCACTTGAAAAAATCCCAATATATTACTGTGCCTAAATATTTCTAGCCAGGGAAATACTCTTTATTTCATAACACTGACAGTGCTGAAAGACAATTTTCAGATTTGTTGCAGATATAGCTTCACCTTGAGATAAACTAATAATATTCTTGGAAAAATAAAATTGCTAATTACTGATTTGTTTGGTGAAGTGGGACAAGCCACTGATATCAGACCAATTCCCTTTTCTGACTGAAAGTCATGAGAGATTTAAAATTTAAAATCTGAAATAAAGAAGCAAAGCTCTTTATCTGGTTATCTTTTATGAGGAGAAAGATTTATTTAAGCTACGTCAAAGTAAGAGATGAAGATACTTTTATCTATCACCATTTATTGTTCCACTTTCTTCATATATGTACCCTATGGAGAACAGGGAAAGCTAAAATAGGGCACTCTGCTAGGAAACATTTTTTCTTTATAGACCTTAAATAAATCCCAAATGTACTGAATACAATTCAGTGTGTAATTTATTAGACAGTTTATTCCATATTACCAGTGGAATACTTACTTGCTTAAGATGGGATTCACTCAAACATTTACCTGATTACCCCATGTATTGTCCAGAATGGGCAACATTTTTTGCAACAAATGGTGAGGAAGAACTTACCATGAACCACAGAGAATTCTCACAGAGAGAGTCTTAAGCTGTTGATATAAATTCTGAAATTAGCAGTACCAGCTCACTACTGATCAGTACTGATTAATTCATTCCTTCAAATTATTTATTGGGAATTTTGAACAGTAAACTTTTCCATCCTGAACCAGAAAACACTCATACTGTATTCCAGCCTAACCCCATCAGGACTTCTGTTACGTTAGCTATGCAAGCAAAAAAAAAAAAGCTAACTTTTTAGCTGACATTTTTGTAAATATGGAGGCTTTAAAAGAAGATCAAATATGCAAACCAAACAAAATGTAATACCTAGTAAGTAAGAATGCTACAGAATTTTCGTTGTTTGCAATTTACAAAACTCTGAGGTGTTGCTCGTGAATTCTCCTTTCCTTTACAAGTAATAACATGAAATTCATGGTAACGTAAACTGATTTTCATCTCACTCAAGACTATTTTCTCCTTTTAATTGGAAAACAAAACCAGAGGCTACACTTCCGAAGTAGTCTTCCCATGCAGAAACTGATGTTCTATTTCAAATATCAAGCACTTCCATTTTTAAAGTATATAATTATACCCTTCTCTTTGTGACATACTCTTTCTTTACTTCTCCATAGGTACAAAAACAACGTGCCCATTGATGTACAGGCTCACCCTGGCAAGTATATCATTGAAAGCCGATATGGACTGCACTCACTGGAGATTACCACGTAAGGCAATACAAGATAATTTAACAAACACCTTATGCTGAAACATCGCTATGGATTGAGACCTGCAAAATGTGAACATATCTCTTGGGCATGTAAGATGGTATCAGAAATATCAGCTGAGGCGAATGCTGTCTCCTAAAGGTTGAAGAAGTTCTGGTTTACCTCAATGGAGGATATGTAATTTACCTGAGTTACCTGGATATCCTCTTTATGGCTGAGTCAGAAACATGTGGGACATTTGTGATTATTTTTCCCACTTGTCTGCTTGATGAGTGCAGTTAAACATGAAAAAAAATTCAGCTAAGGGTAAAAATACGTGAGTTACCTGTTTTTCAAAAACAGCAAAGTTCATAGCTCTTACTGAAATGAGGAACAGAACCGAGATGTCCTCACTTATACACAAGGAAGATCTTTAACAGTACTCATCCTCCAAATGGGAAATTTTTGCAGTTACTTTTCACTAAAAACATTGACAATATGAGACCTAGCAACAATCTAGATTTGACAATTTATATACTGCTAGGGGCCCTTTGAAAATATTTTACGAAATCTACCATTTCTACAGCTTGCACACTCCCTTTACTCTATTAGGAGACAGTAAATTAGAGATAAATATTATCACATAGTTTGCCCTGCTTGTGCTGTATTCTCAATTGCAAATATGTAAGTGATATTTGAAAAGAGACATTTATTTCAAACCCTGGGTTTTAACAGTTGAAAAAACTTAATGGTTGCAATCAATCCAGCGTCCAGCGTGTCTGTCTCCCAAGCTTTTACTTTACAGCTTCTACCCAGATTTATGAGAGTTGTCTTAATCTAAAACATAGGAGAGGCTATAAGAAGGAGTAAATGTGTGCTCTGCCTAATCATTTCTATAATTTCAGATGTGAATTTGACGACACTGCCCAGTATAGGGCCTCTGCTATGAATGTTAAAGGAGAAGTTTCAGTTTATGCTTCCCTCGTGGTAAAGAGTAGGTTGCAAAATATTTCCTTCAAGTTCTTTTTGTTAAGATGCATATTACCAGTTTTGGTTTTGAGGCTCAGAGAGCCTTTACCTCTTGGTGGTAGTGACTGGATTTGTCTTTTTCCATGTAGGGTACAAAGGAGAAGTTGATGCAAGTCTTTTGCATGCTGGAAATCTTTCCATGTCTCCATGTAAGTTACAATATGTTTGTTTGACACTTCCATTTATAGTTGTGACATCATGACACATGATTAAGCAGAATATTTAGTAACATTATTTTAAAAGGAAGCAGGTCTGATTTATAAAGGTCCTGAGCCCTACAATTTCAGATGCCTCACCAGCAGGGGAATGGCATTGCTTTTTAGGTATATTGGCTCATATAAGAAACATCTTGTTAATGTTGTACATCGCTGTGAAATAAAATCTGTCAACGAGAGAGACACTTCATCTTTTGCAAAATGTAAAACATGGCCTGGGAAAAAAGCTAGGGGGTGCATGTGCCTAAGCAGAGTAGAGGATTTAATTATTTTTGTCTGCTGCCTATGTGATTACATTAGTTGGGAAAATACACAGAAAAGATCAAATATCCAGAACCCATTTTGACTATTTTGGATATGAGAAGGTAAAAATTGTAGTTTGTTTTACCTGAGAACCTGGCATTTTCATGTTATTTACAGTATTGCATAGATGCTTCTATGATGACAATACAATCTACCCACGTATGCCATGTGGATGAAGAGCACTAGGGACCCCAGGAAAGGCTTGACAGATGACACTTCTGGACTTTTCTTTTATTGCTGCAGCACAAATAGAATCAGAGAGATGCTACAAAGGCATACTAGCTGGCATTTACATGCCAAAGCTCCGAAATAATAGAGACAAGATTATGTACCACATTACAAAATATAATGCTATACATTTCCAATGTAATTTAGGATCTATCACTTGGTTATGGGAAAGAAAGATGACGATTTGCATATATCCATTGATCACAGGAAGACTGATCACAGCTTCCATCAGTTGTGTAAAAGGCAAATGTGGCCTTAGGTTTTATCAGCTGAGTTGTTTTCAAAAGAAACCATGTATGTATAGCACAAGTGTAAGGCACATAGGATATTCTGTTTGAAAAACTGCACAACCTGGGACATACAGCATCAGAAAAGATGGATTCAGGAGCAAATACTGAATAGAAACAGACTACCTGAATGCCTTGGGGATTGAAGAGTTCATTTTATATTAATAGCCCCCCAAAGGGTTTATTTATCTTATAAAAATAAAGGCTGAGCGGACACATGACTGCTTTGAGACAGAGCAAGGAGTTAAAAAGGGAAAGAGAAGAACCATATAAGCTAAAGATCAACTTGACTTGAACAAAAAATTAATCATAAGTAGAAGACTTTTTAAGTTGTAAAACAAACCTGATGATAAAACACATAGATCTGAAATTTTGAAAATTCTGAAATGAAATTCTGCAGGAGTCTCTCCCTGATAAAATTAACTATCTGTAAGAACTAGAGTTGTATGAATAAAGGAATAGTTGATTCTTTCTGATAGAAAGGGCTTGGATTATTTAACACTGCAATTACCCTGAAGATGATGACAATATATATTGTTCCTATTTATAATTTAAACTTTAGCTGAGACTGTATTCATAATCACTGAGTACTTTTTCTTTCTATTCTTGTCACAAAAGGAAAGACAAAGTAAACAGCCAGATTATTTTTTTTCCCTTTATACAGTTGCCATTACCCCTTATGGCTATGCTTCCAGGTTTGAAATCAGCTTTGTCGACAAGTTTGATGTAGCCTTTGGGAGAGAAGGAGAGACAATGAGTCTGGGCTGCACAGTTGTCATCAATCCTGATATCAAGCGCTTCAAACCAGACATTGAATGGTACAGAAATGGTGAGAATATTTGACAATAGAACTATAAACTTCTATCATGTAAATCTTTACTTATTTCATCATATGTGAATGTTATGATTTGATCATCACTTTCTCAATTTTTCCAACAGTAATATTTTCTCTTTTCAACTAAAATTGTTTCAAAATTTAGCATTTTGATGTGAAACCACAGAAAACTGGTAAGGCACTGTGGAAATGCCTTCTACGAATTTTTTCTTCTTAAAAAATTCTAAATTAGAAGCATTTCAATCAGATCCAGCAGCTATATGGCCCATCTACAAAGTCCATATAGCTTTTACTATTTATATATATGCCAAGACATTTCTTAAGTAGTTGCACATGTATGTTGTGCAACAGCTGATAAAAAATCCTGTTGCTCTCTGAAGTTACACTTTGAAATTGAAGAAAAAAATTTCATGAGAGCAGAATTAGCTGTGGTTTTGTTCAAAGTCAGAAAGTCGTCTAATAATAATGGTCTCTTGTGTATTTCCAATCAATTCAAATATATTCTCCGTATTCAGAATTTACTCCTCCATAGATTCAGCTCATTCTCATAATGAAATTCTCTAATTCCTAGGTGTTCTTATTACACCATCCAAATGGGTCCAGATGCAGTGGAGCGGGGAGCGAGCTTCGTTAACACTGACTCATGCAAACAAGGAAGATGAAGGTCTTTACACCCTACGAGTGGCAATGGGGGAGTACTATGAAGAGTACAGCGGTTATGTCTTTGTTCGAGGTAGGATAATGTCTTGTGAACAAAACTCACTACAGAACTGACGAAAACATGCTGGCAAAATCAGTCTCAGATATTTGAGTGCTTTTTTTTTCCCCTCCTCATTAAAAAGAGAATAATTATTTTTTATTAATAGATTCTAGCAATACTGTTCCCAGTTGTTATCTCTGTAAAAAATTCAATATGTATCTCATGCTTTGGTGTCACATGCCAGAATTCTAAACTCCGTTGGCATTCTGAGAAGGAAATTTAGGGTATTGATGTAACTTCACTACTACTTCTCACTTTCAGCTAGTGAAGAGTATTGAACATAAGTCATAAGGAGGAAAAAGCCACATAAAAATAAAAAATGCATTTTTGTAACAATCTCACTTCTAGCTAAACTGCACTATTTTTATCAAGATTTTTTGTGCCGTTTGAGGGATTGTCTCTAATGCACAGTGCAGGGAAAATCCGTTCAGTGGAATGGAAACGCAAAGGTCTGCACCTGGTGAAGCTTAGTTTCGTGCAGCAGTGTAGGCTGGTGTCTGACTGGCTCAAAAGCTGCTTTTTAGAAAAGATCCTGGTGGACAACAAGGTGAACATGTGCCTTTGTCACAAAGAAAGGCAGTGGCATCCTGAGCTGCAGTAGGAAGAGCATTGCCAGTAGGCTGGGTAGGTGATCCTTCCCCTCTACTCAGCACTGGTGAGACTTATCTGAAATGCTGGATCCAGTTCTTGGACCCTCAATACGAAAGAGGCATGGACTCACTGGACTGAGTCCAGTGAAGGACTGTGAAGGTGATTTAGAGCTTGGAGCATCTCTGACATGAGGGAAGGCTGAGAGAGCACGGAGAAGAGAGATCTTAGGAGGAGCTTATCCACATTATGTACCTGATGGAGGGGAGTAAAGAAGACAGAGACAGGCTCTTTTCAGTGATGCTCAGTGCCAGGACAAGAGGAAATGGACATAAGTTCAAATAAGGGAAGCTCATTTAAACATAAAAAGCCCCACACTTTTTTTTTTTACTGTGAGGGTGGTTGAACACTGGAACACATTACCCAGACTGGCTGTGGAGTCTCAATTCTTGGAGACACCCAAACCCTGATTTGACATGGCTCTGAGCAACCAGCTCTAGCTGACTCTGCTTTGAGCCAGGGGATAAACTAGGCAGTCTCTGGAGCTGTCTGCCAATCTCATCCATTCTGTGACTCTTTAAAGTAGTGCAGCAAGGTGTAGAATAAAAATGTCATTTTTCTGAGTGTTGTTTGCTTGTATCATGAAAAACTTCATCAGATTTCTACTGAGAATTATTTCTTTAAAAGGAACCATTGCTATCAGGTTGTGTGCTGATTCTATATCTATCCCAGCTGTTAAGAGCAGCTGAAGTGTGTAGTGCTAATTCAAAAGGCTCTGGAAATTCTTGGCTCTGAGACCATGCCCAGAATGGCTCTGTGTTGTTAAGTCCATCAGAGCTGTGTGAGATAACAGCTCAGAAAATATGACTGAAGCAGACATTTTCAGCACCTGAAGAGGTTATTGAAATGAGCATCTGTGACAAGAAATACGACTTGTCTGTCTTTATTTGTTTTACATTCTGCTGCCATATAAATAAATGATCACTCTCAATCCTGTTACATCTTCTAGTGATGCAGGTGTGACCTGAGTGTGAACCCACTACCCCTTTCACCAGAGTATCTTACTAGCCAATGGACGTGTTTGCCAAATTCTAATTAGATTAATCATATTCTACATTCCTATTTAAGTGATCCCCACAGCCTTGGTTGGCTAGTATATTCCTCACTGCTTCTACTAAACTGTAGACAAATTTGCTCTAAAATGGCTAGCTGTGGTATTTTACCTTGAGCCGTTGTCTTTTTGTGTCACACTTAGAAATCCCCATGTGCTGATAGAAGGGAGCAAAGCAGTGATCAGGCTCAAAAAGTTAGGTCTTCAGACGGGCTTTGAGAGCATGTGTGACTCCTCTGCCATGGCTACAGGTCATCATTTGTCAGCAAGACGTCAGGGATGAAATCCTAGTCCCCCAGAGGCTGAGCAGCAATGCTGGTTGTCCCAGCTATTTCCCAGTCTGTCTTGGAAAGAAACTGTGTTGTCTCATGTTCAGTCAAGTGGTAAATATGGGCAATTAAAACCTTTTGTAAAGAGATCACTGAAGACATGTTGTTATTACTCTTAACGTTCTTAGTATTTTGTGTTGTTAACTGGATTGTTTACTCTGTACATGATCACTTTTAAAAATGCATTGAGTTGCCTGTAACTAGAACCTGGACTTGGCAAACTCAGTGCAGTTTCAAAAGCTCTGTGTGATGCATCTCTGTATATAAGAGAAGGCACACTGTAAAGCATGTTTTGTTTTGTGGATTTTTTTTTAGGAAAGCTATTGTTTTACTTAATGAAGCATGTTAAATACTCTTATAAGGCATTTTTTTTCCTGAAAGCCAAAAGCACGAAAAATAGTGATTACTTTATACTGTAATACAAAGTCCTGTAATGCCTTGTAATATTAGAGGGAATGTATGAAAAATATTTATTAGCAAAATATTGTTTATTCAGGTATATACATTTAGTCAGGTCTTCTTTTGAAGCAGCTCACAACAGATCTTGAAAATAGCAACATGTAAGTGTACAAATTGATGTTATTCTGCAGAGAAACAACCTCTCTGATCTGAAAGTCTTTCACACAATCTTCCTGCAAAGGTTCTTTTTCTCTACATGAAAATTACACCATTTCACAAAGCAGACTGTGTAAACAGTAAAATTCCCCAGTGCCCAGCACTGTGCTCTGTTTTTTGAAGTTTTAGATAAGATATGTCCAGAAGCTGATGTTGAAGTCAAGGCCCTTTGACACGAGCAGTCCCAGATTTGTGATAAACACTTGAAAGAAAAATGTGCTCATCCTTATGAAGGTTATATTCCACAGTGATAATATGTAATATAATTAAACTTCAAAAGGTTTTGATACCTTTGCAGTTCACAGCTAACCAAAATAAAACAATGAAGGACTACGAGTAGAGATAAAATATTTAATTTGATGTTGTTACATCCAATGGGTGAATACTTCTGATTCATCTATTACCTGGCTGTAAGGGGCAGTCTGCCAACTTTTTAGTTCAGCTGTGTCTCTGGCAGCTCCCTAACCAGAATGCATGGTACTAATTTTATTTAAAATGCCTAGGTGAATTACATTTACAGTGTGCTGTAACATATTTGTAAATGTGGCAAAGAGAAAACCAAAACCTAGAAAAACACTGACAATATGAAAGCAAATACTTTTTGAAGCCAGTAATGGAACTTCTTTTTTTCTTTTTTCTTTTCTTTTTTTTTTTTTGACTCAGTAGGAAAATATTTAGGTCCTTAAAGATTAATAATTGTGAAAGAATCATGGTTCACATTTGGAAACATATTCCTCCATCCTCATAGATGCTGATGCTGAAATCCCTGGAGCCCCTGGTGCACCACTGGACGTGCAGTGCTTAGATGCCAACAAAGATTATGTCATTGTCTCCTGGAAGCAACCTGCTGTCGATGGAGGAAACCCCATCCTTGGATATTTCATTGACAGGTCAGTGAGCACGCTGGAGTGGAGAATTCATATTGCTGCTCATTCTAACTTGAAAAACTAAATCCACACTGAAAAACATGAGATAAAATAGTCATTTGTTATTTTTTTTTTCTTTTTACTGGCCAGAAGAAATTACTTTTTTTATTTTAGATTGGCTAGGCCTGATCTAACTTTCATGGAAATAATCACATCTTGCTTCATTGAACTGTGAGATGCGGCATAGCTCAGCCCTTGCTGCTTCCTGTAAGCTTGAGAGGCCTCGGGATTTTGCAGTGTTTGGGAGCTTATAGTATCTGCTCTTTCATCAGGCAAATGTGTCTCCTTTTGTAACACAGCTCTCCTGTCTCTTTCCTAATAGTTACTATGTACCAGAAAACAAAATATTATCTCAAAGGGACTTGGATTTCTTTTTTATATGCTGTTGTTATCTAAGCTCTTAGATTCACAAGCTTCATGCAAATCATGCTTACTTGTTTGTCTCTGTAACAATAAGAATTGGAAATAATTTTAAAAAATATGAAATCTCCAAACCTCCACATATCACCCAGTGGTAGGAGTGTAGAAACATGGGATCTAAGAAATTCAGTCAGCATTTTGAGACTTACAGTAATCTTCAGTGCTGGTAATATTTGTTTGAATTTCAGTAACAGAATACATCATTAGTAATATGGAGTTTCAGATGCATGTATTATGCTATTGTACGTACTTACATTATGTATGTTACATTATCTATCTCTAAAAAGAGGACATTGCTTTTTGAAATAAATCTAACATTCGAATATAACTTTTTGCTAACTTTTGAGTGTCAATTGCTGCTGTAACTGTGCTGGATTGGGCAGAAGCTAGAGCTCTTTAACATTTGTTGAAAAATCCTGAACAAAAGACAGGACTAGACTCTGAACAATAATATCTCATTTTAAAACTAGGCTATTAAAGATGTTAGCACTGAGAGTAACTCCAAGACAAATGGCATTTTGCTTTTTCTCTTGTGTTCACCTCCTCTATTCTGCATTTGCTCCTAAATTCAAAGCTGTGTTGCTGCTCTCCAGTGTTTGATCCCACAAAAGGCATTTAGGTACCCAAATATTCATCCAGGGTAGCCCCTAACTGCCTTGTAGAGTGAGTGGGTCGTCCAAGCCAACAGGATTGATCTGTGCTAAGGCTAAAGGCAAAGTTTGGGCATCCCTCACCCAAACAGAAACCAGAACCAAAAAACTGCCCTGAGCAGGACGGTAACAGTTCTTTCAACAAGAGATGCTTGCATGTACCAAGAAATCTGAGTAGAAACTGTAACATTTGCTTTGGTAGATATCTCATCAGCAATAAAAAGTCTTTCCCAAGCTACAGGGCCATGTTCCTGCTGACCACATTGCTAGATACTGGGAAGCCATTACCACAGGCTCCTCCTGGCTCTCTGAGCTGAAGTGGCTGCTGGTTATCTCTTTGTTCTGCCAGAAACCAGCCTACTGACATGTGTGAAGCTTCACAGCTGTGTGACCAGCACCACCATGCTGGGTCTTGTCATTGCAGTGACTGCAGCCAGCACACCACAGGCTCCCTTGGCAGCCTCAGCGGTTTCTGAAGCAGGGTTTGGCTAAGTGCCCAACTTTAACCCTGTTCACAGCCATCTCTGTGCTGTGCTGGTCTCAGAACTCACAACGGAGGTCTCTGCACCCCAAGAAGCCCAGCATTTTGCAGTATGTACAGTGCAGCACTGTGCAGGAAAGATAAACTAGTCACCTTCTGGCAACTGCAAGAGAGACAGGTGTTTCTTGTCCCTTTAAGTATGCTAAAGCTGACACTCCCTAAGCATACTTTGGAGGGTTTAAGCAGTGAAGTGAGTTCTGATCCTGTCCCTCTTCAGTTCAGGAAAGAAGGGGTGCAGCTGAGAGGGATTCAGTGCGTGCTCAGACTAAAGTCAGCCCCGATGCCTTGGTGCAGCTGCTTTGATGTCACCAGTATATAAAGCTACTGTGGAAACTTGTGTGAACCAGACAATCAACACAAACAGATGGCGAAGATGCAAAGGCGTGTGGGTGCCCCAAGTTTGTGTTTTTCCCTTCCCATCACTGCTCTTGCTGTTTATATTTTTCAGGTGTGAGGTCGGCACCGCCCACTGGACCCAGTGCAATGAGAATCCCGTGAAGTTTGCTCGTTTTCCTGTCACTGGTCTGATTGAAGGCCGTTCCTACATCTTCCGAGTCCGAGCGGTGAACAAAGCTGGCGTCAGCCTACCGTCCCGGGTGTCAGAGCCTGTGGCTGCTCTGGATCCTGCAGACAGAGCCAGGCTTAGAAGTAAGATGTGCTTTTTGCAGTTTGCTTGAGAGGCTTAAGAAGTCACAACTCATTAAAAAAAAAAAAAAAAAAGAAAAAATTTTAAAAAATTATGACTATCAACTCAGACACCTTCGAAATCCCACTAGAGGGAGCAATGCTAAACCAAAATATCCTTTGGAGGCAGCTTTGCCAAGAAGAAATCATCTCGGTGCTCTTTGCACTCAGTACTCTATCTGCTGAAATGGCTTTGGCTGGCTGCAGTGCTGTGCTCCAAACTTGCAGGAAGAGGGGGAAAAAGGCACAGGAGAGCTAGAGAGACTCACTTTTGTTCAGCCAACAAAATAGCTGAACAGATCCTGTGACTAGTCTCTCTGAGATACAGGCAAGGGTGGCTGATTCTGTGCTCATGTGACAATCAAAGTCTTGCAATAACACCAGCACAATACCAGGATGACCACACAGATCCCAGATTTTCTGCTTTAAAGTTAGCATTTTACAAGTCAAGGATATTTCTCCTGTGGCCTCACAATGTCTCAGGCATTTTGCTTCCAAATCCACCTCTCTACCCATATACCACAATCATATGCCTAAAATCAACTTCTACTTCCATTCATAATCTATTTCTACATATTTCTGAACATATATAATTAAAATGGTTGAATGTGAAGGGATATTGTATGCAAAGCTACAGGGATCCCATGGTCGCAGCTTGTATGAGTTACTGTATGCGATGCAGCCAGGTAATCTAGGTTCCCATTCAAGATAAAAAAAAAAGGCCAGAGGAAGGAGGTTTGGCACTGCCAGGAAACATTGCACTCAGTCATATTTGTGAAACTTTAAGTTGGGGGGAGGCCTTTTCTTCTCAATAGGCAGCATAGAAGCTTTCTCAGGAGATAAAGTCTGGTTTTGTTGACCTATTTCCATTATGCCTCCTCATCCTTCACAACCTTTTCTCCCCATCGGCTCCCTCTCTGCTCACATCTCCAAAACAGATCAGTAGGGTGAGCAATGTGGAGGTGGAGAACAGTGTTCGCAAAAATTATCTCTGAAAGTGCATTGACCTGGCTGATAGCTGAATGCATAACTGCAATAATATGATAATGTGGAGGCACTGAGAGAGCCACCCAAATTATATCAAGTGGATGTGTTGAGTCAGGTTGAGACATTTCCGTTTGTGACTGTGACCTGTGATTTAAAAGCTGGTAATACGAAGGAAAGTGGTTAAAAAGAGACAAAAAACAGCCTGCAGGAATTTAGCTGTTCTTTTAATAAGTGAGCTGTTAAACCAAAGGAATAGAGGAGAGAAAATAAAGTTGAAATTATTCTCTGAAAACGATGAAGTGAGCCAAATAGCTCTGCTTGTCACCTAGGAGACTTCAGTGACATTTCAGGAAGGAATTGGTGGATTAAATTTTCTAGCTATGTTAATTGCTGAGCTGCTCTCAATATTCAAGCTGATAAGCTTGCAACTACCGTGGGTAACAAGCTTGCTACATGAGCAAGAGTCACAGCATTAACTAAAACCAGATCTCACAGGGATCTTGCAAATGTCACTTTCGAACCACAAAAGAGTCAGTTTTCTCATTGTTTCAAAAGTTCCTGAAGTCTCCCATTTCCATGATACCTCTGGTATTTTTTCAGGTCACCCTTCTGCTCCTTGGACTGGTCAGATTATTGTGACTGAGGAAGAACCTGCAGGTAAACACAGTCCTTTTGCCTACAAAAGTCTAATGTGAAACTGGCTGACTAATTAGGAGAACTCTGAGTGAGTTCTGTGGACTTTGGCAAGCACCCAAAGTTCATTGTTCTGAGAGTCACTCAACCTTAAATAATTCACGACTTGATTGTTGAGATGAGGTTTCATTATTCAGGACTCAATAAAAACCATGCTTAGAATTAAAAGAAGGACATTTGAAATTGACATTTAGAAGACTTCTAACTCTATGTTTTTAAAAAATATCAGGTGGCAAGGTATATTAATACTCCTATATTTTGATTATAGCACCAATTCTGACACAAGTATAAAGGAATTAAATATTAATTTCTTATTCTGTTCTTCAGAGGGTGTTGTTCCAGGTCCCCCTACAGACCTCCAAGTTATTGAAGCCACCAAGAACTATGTTGTGCTTAGTTGGAAACCTCCTGGACAGAGGGGACATGAGGGTATCATGTACTTTGTGGAAAAGGTAAAATTGGACAAAATCAAAATTATGCTGTGGCAATCTTTTACACTTGTTTTGCCACCTCTTCTGGACTTCTAGTTAATTTTCATTTCTGTCTGAGACTTTCAAACCAGGGCCAGAACTAGAACTTCATTAAGATAACTGTTAAACTGTAGATTAAGATAAACTAAGAAGAGAAGAAAGAAGAGAAATACAAACAGAAATACAGTACAGAAAACACAATCTGCAGATTCAGATTGTGTCACAAACTGTAATATTCTTTTGTGAATTGCGTTATTCACCTCCCTTGGAGTAGGCGGACTGACAAACTCCCTCTATAATGAGAAAACACAGAGCAAAGTCACATGCTTATATATATGTATCTCATATATATATATATGATATATAAAATATATACATAAAATTCGTATAAACAAAGCTTATCTAGTAGGACACTCTGGATGGAAGCATTCTGCAAGAGTTTCTTGGCATCAGCAGTTTCTCTTCCAGCTGCCTTTTCATATTTATCCTCTTCATTAACTTTTCATTTGCTTCACCAACTCAACAAAGATGACAAAATTTCTTTTCTGATTTTCTAGAACGGAATCAGTTTTAATTTCAGTGTTCAGCTTTCCTGAGGTGTTTCTTCATGGCTGCTAGCCTAGAAAATTCTTCACCCCATCACCCTTTTTACTTGTATGTCACAGCTCATAAACTTTTTTATCAATGCTTTTCTCTATCAGGCTAGAGGTGGCATCAAGGGAGACATAAATATCTTCCAATTTTGTGTTTTTTCATCTCTTGTACAAAATCTGGTCTAAATAAATGAATTTCACTTAGCAACAAGCCTTAGAGAGGGTGAATATATGAATTTTGAGTTTCCCTATATGAAATAATAACTGACTGCCTGCTGAGTACTCAGCACTAATGTCAGATAGTCGGAGAACATTCTCCTGAGAATTTGAATCCCTCAGAAACCAGAACCATTACTTGAATTTATACTTAATGTAAATCACAGTGAAAAATTAATCACTAGTATTAATAGTATAAGTGATCATGATATGTAGAGTTTCTAGCCACAGAAATAAAAATAATTTACAGATTAATTGCACGTGTTAATTTTTTTCTGGAAAATGAGGGTCAGATCCTGATGAGGGTAAGACTCCTTATTCTGGAAGCCACACCAAAAACATTAAGAGTGACACAAGCAGATTTGTAAGCAATGTAGCAATGTAGAGTTTTGCTTTTTACATGATGCTGAATATCTGCAGAACTTATTTTGAAAGTGGCCCAAACTGGATGCAGTTATTAATCACATCACATCCTTGTGATGGAGAGGAGTTTAGCTTTGATATATAAAAACCGGTAAACTTTTATGTAAGTTTTCTGGAGTAGGTGGACATCTGGCAGATTCATAACCTTTGAAATATGCTCAATCTATGAAAAGGCAAAAAAAAAAGGGATGTGTTTCCCTGTTTTCCACAGCAGACATGCATTTAGTGGTCTGGGTAGAAAGCCTTGTTGGGTTAGACACTGAGCTTTCAGAAGCTTTTGTTCTGAACGTGGTTTCTGGGATTGTCTACAGTGCGTTGCCGGCACAGAGGACTGGCAAAGGGTGAACACTGAGATCCCTGTGAAGTCTCCTCGCTTTGCAGTTTTTGATTTGTCTGAAGGCAAATCCTACTGCTTCCGAGTTCGCTGTTGCAATTCGGCTGGAATTGGTGAACCCTCAGAAGCAACTGAAGCCACTGTAGTGGATGACAAACTCGGTAAGTGTGTGATCATACATATTAAATTATCTCCATGGTAACTTTTCAGTTTGTGATGTAATTGTTTTGTCTGTAGGCAGATAGCTGCCCAGAAAATAATTCAAGTATGAAAAGTACTGAATGATTTATTCCCTTTAACTAAAATAATTTTGGTTTGGTTGTTCAACCTTTAATGTATAGTCAAATGGCAGATGCAAACCAAGGAAAATAACGATGCCAAGAACTTCAAAGACTGCAAATAGCAAAAGAAAATGAAAACTCAAGGAAGTACAAAAATGTTTTGTTTTACTTAGAGTCTTAAATGCAAATAAGCCCAGACACCAACAGAGTTCAATCTTCCTTGTTTGCCAAATTAAACAAAAATGAAGAATTTAATACTTACATGAATGAAGAGACTTTTTTCACTGGAAGAGGAGCCAAGCTATTCAACACAGAAAAACTTCAGTAGCTACACCTACATTAGCAATTTGTTTCCAAACAACAATGCAGATTTCAATCCAGTTCCCAGATGGTCTCTGTTTGCTTCATGTTGAGTTCTTGGAGCACTTTGATGAATGTGAGTTACATTTTTTAAGAAGAATAAAATGTCTCCTCGAATAGCACTATAGATGCACTTGGCTAGTTAACAAGGGCATTGGTTTCTGGCTTACCTATGGACTCCACAAGATCTTCAATGTGCACCTAACACATATTACCTTTTAGGAGGCTCAAAATCACATCTCTGGTGCAGATATTCAGTATAAGGGAATAAATTAAATACAATTTAAATCATAGGCAATGGAGAAATGAGGAATCTCACTGCCAAAGGCTTCAGCCTACTAATCCTGTCCTATCCTTAAATCAGAGAAGTTTTTTGAAGGTACTAGTCATGCTAATATAATCAAGAATAGAATGTCACTCATTTTATTTGTAAATATTGACTGGCTGGTCACTAGCGTATTTCTTCTTCTCTCCCACAGATATTCCCAAAGCTCCTGGCCGTATTATGCCAACTAGGAATACAGACACCTCAGTTGTTGTCACCTGGACAGAGCCCCCAGACGCCAAGGAGCTAGTTGGGTACTACATTGAGTCAAGTGTAGAGGGATCTGGTCGTTGGGAACCATGTAACAACAATCCAGTGAAAGGCACAAGGTAATGAATTTTAAAGCATGAAAATTATGGCAACCAGTTTCTGACCTACTGGATATATGTGCTTTCCTGTCACTAACAATAGTAGAGGTAGTCTCTCTGTGGTAGCCAGAAGGCTGGAATCAGTCTTGCAGGTGAAACTCATAAGAAGTTATAAAAGCATACTTCAAAGTGTGAGTCTTGTCCAAAAAGAAATTATAATCTACCTTAAATTAGAAACAATTAGGCAAGGGGGAAAAAACATGGACATGCTAGTGAAGAAAAGAGAAGTAGCTCGCTAGTTCTACTATTGTACAGTTTGACAAGAAACAGTACAGTGAGGAATGACTGGAGTTACAAATGTGGAAAACTAAACTGCATAATGTTTGGAAGCAAAGTGCTTTGTTTTGGAAGACTGCTGTAAACATGCCTGGACTGTGTATCTAGACTGTCGGGAGGGCATATGAACTATATCATACTGACAATATTACTTTCTAATTGCTCTTTCACTTGCAATAAAATCAAGATATTAATGAACATTCATATATTGGATACAAACATTTCTTAGTGATATGTAGCTTGGTTTCTAGTCAGAAAAAAATAGTCAAGATTAAGACTTCATAAATTAAATCAGATTTGGGTTTACTTGAACAAGGATATAATCTTCAGTCTGAAGGAATAATTGCAGAACTTTATCTCAAGTGGATTGATGCCAATACAGAGGAAGTCCCTGCTTGTTATGACTGTCTATGCTTACTTGTAATGGCTATCCATGACAACCCTTACTAAAATAAGTAAGGATCTCCTAAATACTCTTGGACCAGCTTTGTTTTTTAGAAAAGTATTGTAAATGCTTAGTATATCAAAAGTACCTAAATCCTCAATTTCTTGTGTGTGTTTTGCTTGTGTGCACAAGCAAAACAGTTTCTTAGTATTCTTTTGTGCATTTATATTGCAACAGATCTATGTGTCAATACTATATACTTTCATTATATACTTCCATGATTTGTATTATAGCTATATCAAGTATTGGTGAAGTTTTGTGCTGTTTGCTTACTGTAAAATATGAAATGTGATCTTTATTCACCTTAGAAATAAAAATATTTTTCCGAGTTAATACATATTGTGATATAACTACACTACATAGGTTTCTATCACTGCATTTTTAGTCACTGTGATATAATGTATGATGCAGTCAGGCACAGGCTTTCTGTTAACTCTTGGTTTTTCTAGTTGAGTCAATCTCAAAGCATTAGCTGCACTCGATAGTTTGCATTATGAAGAATATTTTGATCTTTTGAAATTTGTTTTCTGCACCCATCCTTGTGAAAGCAAATGATTTGGAGAAGTCTTGTAGAATGGGTAGGGAAAATTCAGCTCTGAAAATTTTGATACAGGTTCTACTTTTTCCCCTAAAATAAAACTTCGATTTTGTTTTCCACATTATATTTGCTTCATACATCATTGCATGATGTCGGTGTTGGTAGTACAAGACATGACATTATGAAGTAGAATGAAATAAAGGTCACATGCAATAAAACAAAATACGTATCGAAAAATAAATATTATTTTAAATAAAAAGTTTAAATTTCCAAACCACAGTCTATTCCTAAATAAATTATTCCTGTCTTGGGAAATTTTGTGTTTTCAGGGTGGACACTAGAGAAAATTTAGGAGGGTGTTTTTAATGTGACAATTAAGTAATCTAGTAAAAAATCTATTCAAATAAAAGAATTCATCTGGCTCAGATTATTGTGCCATGTGTAGAAGCAAGAAAGTGAAATTAAAAAATCATTTAACTCTTGTAAAATGCCCTGTAACTTTTTTGAACAGTACAATTTTCCATTTATGGTTGGAAGTGATTTATGGAAGCTTGTGTTACATGTGTCTTTTACTTATGTAATGAAAATATCCCACAAGAAGCAAATATAGACCTTAGCTCTGCAGATTTTCACATTTTTCTATTGGGAAGTATGGATTTTATATACTAGCAGAAGTAAAGTAGACCCTGTGGTAACATAAAAACTTGTGCAGTCTTAAGAAAAAGAGTGTTGGTAAATGGTATGTCTAAAGAGACATGAGTTTAGACATTATCTTTGTTAGGTAAACGAGGTTCTTAGATACCTTTTGCATTCTCTGACCTTCATATAAGGGTCTGGGGTCATGATTTATCCTTGGTTTTCAGAAACCAGAATAAAATTTATGGAAGAAATATTTTCTGTTCCCCCTTAGGATTTTCCTTTTCTTTATAATACTTCCTAAATATTCCTTTACTGATTTGTTTTAGATTCATTTGCCATGGGCTCAGCAATGGTGAGAAGTACATTTTCAGAGTCAGAGCTGTTAATGCAGCAGGGCTCAGTGAATTTTCACAGGATTCAGAGCCTATAGAGGTGAAAGCAGCCATTGGTAAGCCATTTTCCATTGCTCTTTTCAATGGTATATATGTTGGGGTTTAATGAAGTAAAGAAGTTTTCAGCGATTATTTGTAACTAATCATTTTGTTTTACGATGTTGTCCACAAATAATAATTTATCCATAGATCCTATGGTCTCACAGCCATAGTTTCACAGTCACTGCACTCTTGTAGACTGTTCACCTTCACTGTCCAGTCTTCTTCAGATGTTTCTTGTGAACCACTGTATGAGGGCACTGTCAAGTTCACTTCATAGGTATCCTGGAAAATGGAATGTCATTCTGATTCTGTAATCTGGTATATCACCTCTAATGCACACCATCCTATATGCAGTCAGTTTCTAAGAAATTTTTTTCCATGCCTAAACCCAGTAATCAGTGCAATGTGTCTTTTGTAAACCTTCTATAACCCTGTGTGTTCTCCCTTTGCTGATGGATTATTTCTGTTTGCCACTGCCTGAACTAATCCATAAAGATTAATGAGATCATTGGGCTAGAATGAATTGCATGTCTGCAACATCCTCACTCTCATTTTTATCAAAACTGCATACCTCTCAACCTTAGAGCAAAGAGATGTGGCCCAAGGCAATTTTCTGAGATCATCTTGAAAGGATCAGAAATGTGACCTGGAAGATCTAATACTAAAATAATTGTAGCAAATTAAGAATACTATTAACATTCCATCTTTTTTTTCTACTCTGAAAACTAGAGATTATTAAAAAAAGCATTATTTGTGAGCAGGCTGAGAGGTATTCTACACATTTCAAGTTTTTGTGAATTCAAGCATAACATTTTGTGCATAAACCCAGTCATTTGTCATATTTTGGCTGTATTTTTTGCTGTATGTATTTCTTAATTCTGCTGACTAAATGAAGTAAAAAGAATGTATTCTAATCCAAAATGTCTTTGCTGTTTTCTGGCAATTATAGGGGGTGGATTGCTTCATGGTGTGTGTCCTGAACTGAGTGGTAAAGCTGGTGGACTAACAGACCACACTACCAGCTGGGAAGGCATGCATGAGACCTCCCAGCCTATCTTTGACACAGATGCTTTGCTAAAACGCAATGCTAAATTTAATAGAGACACACTACTCAGTAGCTGTGACAAACTGGGGAGTACAGGAGATTGTAACATGAGAGAAATGGCTAAGGATGCACCTGCACCACAAAAAGTTGCTGCTAAGCAGGCAAGTAAGTCTCGACCCGAGGATCTTTTGACAGTGGAAAAAGTCAGAAAGAAGAAAGATACAGGTGAGAATTAATAAAATAAATAGATTTCACTGCTTTGGTACATCCACTTCAGACTGCTGTAACCTCTGTTCATCCGTACCTCAAGCGAATATGCTCTACGGTGATGCATCCTTCATCAGGCCCATCAATTATGTGCTCAACTCTCCATTAAGATCATTATGCATATAATGGTATTGGAGACCACTTTACAAATTCAGTGGTTACTGAAAGAGAAACATATAAATACGTTTAGTAATTTAATGGCTTGTTTGACTACATTTTAATGTATCCAAGTTACTATATTATTTCTAGATCGCTTCAGTAATTTGTTAGGAGTCTGGTTACCTAGTCTCTGGGTTATATATGTGGGCAGAAAACAAAATCTGATTACGACGGTAAGCATGAAAATCTGTGTTCTGTTAGGATATATGAAGATCCTTTGTGGATTTATGCCTAAGCTACAGCTTATCTCTGACACACTCTGAATGTTGTGTTCTATCTCTGACTGATAACAATATGTAAGGAGGAAAACCTGTAAAGTTATAGGCACGTGTAGAAAATCATGTTTTATGTTTTCAGCACCTAGACACCCCTTGTGCCCAAGAAATGTGGGGCTTGAATTTCATCCTGGTACCCAGTCAATGAACTGAACTCCTCCCCAGGCCTCTGAAATGAGACTCAAAAAGCTTGTGCAAAATGTTGAACAGAAAACAGAGTAGAGGCACCTGGGGCTATATGACACCAATATAAAACATTGAAGGCAAAAGGAAACGTATATGATGTGCGATTTCCATCCAAAGTAGGACTTAGGGGTCACAAGTAGGACTTTTCACTTGTGCATAACATACTGGATGCAGGCAACCATTTCTCCACTAGATACAGAAGAAATATAAGAAGTTGGGTTGGGATTAAGTGAATGATTTCTGCATTATTATAAAAAAATCTAAGACGGAGGATTATGCCATGCATTTTTTAATGTAAGTTGAAGTAACAGACATGTTCCATTTCTGGTCAGTCTACAGTGCCTATGATCACACTGTCTTCCACTAAGGTAAGCTTATGTGATGGGTGCAATGATAAAATTTGCGCAGTGTAAAAATTAAAAAGAAAAAAGAAACAGATAAAGTCCATTCTTGGGAGAGAAGAATGCGAGACTACTTAAAAAAGAAAAGGAACTACAATGCATATTGCATGTGTGAAAAAAGGTTTGGTTCCTGCAAAAGAAAACAAATCATTGCATCTCCAATTTTTTTTACTTTTCCTGTAATGATACTTTCCATTCCTCATTTTTCACAATATTAAAGTGAGTCCTGATCACTTGCATCAGAGCTGCAATTGCAACACATTCTTTCACTATGCATCAGCTTGCTTCAAAAGCAGGGGATCCTGAAAAGTAATTCCTATGCAGTTTGGACTTCTGCATTTGGGTTGTGGAAGCTTTATCCTGCGTTTCTTATTCCAGCTCCAGAAACTTACCTTGAGCGCATAAATATTGTCCTAATTAGGAAACGCATGGTGGGAGCCACCTGAATATGGTAAGTGAAAGCCAGTCTGACAATTGAAATATTACTTCCTAATTATGTGTTATTTACATTGAAACAGCTGCTCCATCTCAACCTTATGACATCGTGGTACTTGAGAGTGTTCGTGACTCAATGGTATTGGGATGGAAAGAACCTAAAGTCACTGGTGGAACTGAAATTACTGGCTACTATGTGAACTATTGTGAAGTGGTTGATGGAGTTCCTGGAAAGTGGAAGGAGGCCAACATTAAGGCTGTTACTGAGAGAGCATACAGGGTAAGAGATTACCTTCTGTTATTGCTGGGGGTACAGACAGTATTTCCAAAACAAATCTCAAAGACACGTTGGGTTGAATTCTGATTCAATGTACAGATAGCTGTTCAGAGGGTTTTAAATCCATGATGATAAATTTATTTAGCTCTGTTAAACTTCCCTGCAAAATTGTTTGTACACTTACCTATTAGTCTAGCATCAACTGTTGTGTGTAAATTCACTGACATAGTCTGATTTGTAAGTCAGGCCCTCACAAGAAATAGCATTCCTACTGGGTTTGGTGGACATACCCCAGTGATTGCTGGTGCTGGAACCAGTCCTGTGCCAGCTGTTTTTTGTGATCAGTTCTTGACCCAATTTAGAGACAGTGCTAGCTACAACCTTGTTGAGCTGCTTTAGAAATGAAAAGCAATGCCAGGACTGAGTTTCACCCCACTGTGAGGACAACTCTTGCCTTAAGTGAACTTGTTCTGTACCACGAGGCAGACTAAGATGATTGTTGAGCAATACCCTGTTTCCTCCCTGACTATTAAAGTGTCTATCAATAGGAAAAGAGGGTTACAATTTGAATGTGCTAAGACCACTCAAATATGCTTGTCAAAAAAGACAAATTATCATCTTAAGCTATCAATAATGCTTCCATCTTCAGGCACACTTAAAAGCATGCTCATGCATTCAATAATTGCTATTGTGACTTTCTTCTAAAGATTCAATACAAAGTTAATAAGTACCATCTTATTGATCCTGCAGATAGAAAACCTGAAGGAAAACATGGTGTACCAGTTCCAGGTGGCTGCTGCTAACCTGGCTGGGGTTGGAACACCCTCCCAACCCAGCAAGCCCTTCAAATGTGAAGAGTGGACCATTGCTGTACCTGGTAGGATCCTGAGTGGGACACAGCCCAAGGGTGCTCTCTGATCTAAGTCCTCAATGCAGTCAGTTTGCAAAGGAGCCAATGGGGCCCTGAAGTTCATGCCCAGGCTTGAATCTCCATCACTTTGATTTAGTACCTTTACAATGATGCATTACGTAATTCCTTTTATGAGTAGCATTTTGCAAGCAGCCTGTATTTTTTTTTATCTTTCCTTCTTGTTCCTCTACTGTGTCTGCCACTTTGCTTTCTAGTTTAAATAGTAGACATAAATACCTGCCTAAAGTACAAGGCAAAGAAGAATGAGGTCTTGTAACCCTTGTGTAAATGTATCACTTCAAGGCCAGATCCCTTTACACAAGCAGGACATTGGTTTAATAATTAACTTATTTCCCAGAGTTTGAAGGTTATTTGTCAATTTTGTAAGTTCATGAATATTTGATCAAGATACCAGTCTCAGCCAATCAGATTGATTTTTGGACCAGTCTTTTTAATTGGCATAGGTTGCATTTACATCAGGTCTAGATATGATACAGAGGAGCTGCACGTTATGTCAGTTCTGGGTACACCATGTGTGTCTGGTTTTGATCTCTGAAGTCTTATGCATTAGTCCCTTTCAAATTTATTTTGATGCCACAACTCCAACTTTACCTTTCAGGGCCACCCCATGATGTCAAATGCACAGAAGTTAGGAAGGACTCTCTGGTTTTACTGTGGAAGGAACCGGTTTATACTGGCCGTAGTCCCATAGTTGGTTATTATGTTGATATGAAGGAAACTGAAGCAAAGGAGGAACGCTGGAGAAGTGTCAATAAGAAGCCACTTCAAAAGAAATACTTGAAGGTAAATAGCTAAAGATTAAAATATTGGTACAACAGTATAACCTTGAGGAAGTCAGTCTTCAGTAGCATCATCCTGTGCTGATCACGGTTCCACTAAATGGAATACTTGGTAAGTTATATTGGGCCAATACTACACACATGTAACAGCTGTATAGACAGACAAGATGGTAACTCTGGACACAAACTGGTATGACAAGCCTAAAAATAAAAGAAAGCACTGCTAAAACCAAATACCATCCTTGTAACACAGGAGGCATCCGTAGCATTTGCTGGCTCAAAGGATATCACTATACAAAACCAGATGCTTTGATAATGTGGCAAGTGATTCTTTCTAATACAAAGTACCCTCTCTTCACATTTCACAACAAGTTAAACTCAAGCTTTTTGCACTTTTATGCTACATAATTTTGTGGAATGGCTTTTAAATAAGGGAACATCAGTATCTCAGTTCTAGATATACATCTGAAGTAGGTTTGCTATTTGTATGCTTTTCAGAGTATTTGAAAGACAACTCGCTTTAAAACATGATACTTTCATGTATATTTTAAAGGAGTATTCACAGGTGTTATAATGTCAGTATAATTCCTCAAGTCAGGACAACTAAATCTGTACAATTAAACTCTCTCCTGTTTCTAAATAGGTGCGGCTGACACTTATTACCCTGATAATTTCATTTTTAAAAGTCAGCATTTATCTGCAGTAAAAGACTGTGATGTTTCAGAGGTCAATGTACAAGAGTTGAAAACACCCTGTTCCAAAACCAATGCTCCTTTTGCAAAAAAGTCAATGACAGTAATGACGCTGTCTGAATGTTAGCTGTGCACACAGGGAAGGAGCAAGTCATACAGATTAGTCATGTCACTCTGGAATTGAAGAAAAAAAAAAAGAGAGAACTGGAAAATCAACGAAACAAAACAAGAAAGGAAATATAATTGTCAAGTATCCAGACTGATCTTTATAAGCATGAAATTAAAATCAGTCTTTTGCAACCCATTGTGTGTGTATGTTTGGTTCCTCCAGATCGATGGCCTAACACAAGGTGTGAGTTACGTGTTTCGTGTGCGGGCAACAAACCAGGCTGGTGTTGGGAAACCATCAGATACCACGGATGCTGTTTTAGCTGAAACACGACCAGGTTTGTTAGAAATACTTCCTCTTTTTCATCATATTTACACAGGTTCCTGTTTGTGTGATGTGTTCACCTGCAAGCTACATGCCAACAGCCTCACCTCTCTCAGGTCAAGCTTTTTTACAAAGCAAGATATGAGTTGAGGGTTAGTTTCTTGTCTGGTATATTTTAAGGTCAGAACTGATTTTCTTACCGTAACTACAGGCTCAGGAATATAAAGATACAATAAAGTGTTAAGATTTGCATGTATCTATAGATAAATAAGCAGAGGACCCACTAAAATCAGTTCAACCAAACAATAAACTACAGATGTAGATTTTGTCCTTCCTATATTAAACTCATTGTTTATGCTTTATCATTCTCCTATTTGTGTGTAATGTGCCTCAGGAAAGGGTAAAAGAAATTATTTTTTTCCCTTGGTCTTTAAAATAAAGGCTTTAAAAGCACAATGAAGTCACTTTGGAGACCACTTTCAGTAGGAATTCAAGTGCAACTGTTCGCTGGAGTCATCCTCAAAGGCTGGCTCCATCATGTCTGTAACGCCAGAAAAAAACCGCAGGAACCAGTGCAAAGGCAGAATCTCCATACCTGGAACTTCAGGAAACTGCTGGGTTCCATTTAGCTATACAAGTAACTTAGGCGACTTTGGTCAGAGACAAAAACTTTTTTTGTCACTAAGTCCCTAACAGAAAACACAAGTATGGGCTTGTGGCTTATTCATCTATAGATTTTAGAAGTGCAGAGTTCTACGAGGTGCAAGAACAAATTCCCAGATATTTTAATCAAGTCTAGTATAAGGTTAGTATGATGTAAGAAAGTACAGGAGTACAACCCAACCTGGATCCACTGTACACACTTTTTTCCTCTGACAAGTTCCCTTCCTACACCTGCAGACTCTCATACTTGATCTCGCCTGCGAAGGTTTCTAAGAGCAAGAAGGAGGGCAGGCAGCGGGCAGACAGGACAGGGGCCGGGGACAGCTGGACACGGGGACCATTAATAGCAGTTCATGGGCACAGACAAAGGAGGTGGCTGAGCAAACCGCTGCCTACTCTGCCTACACAGTAAGGCAGACGGCTGCTCCCGCCTGGAGAAATAGGCGGGATTTATTTGGGATGCTACTGACTGTGAGGTGTTGTGAGGCATTGAGCAGACATCATCAGTGATCACCAGATCCTACTCCCACCCCAGATGCCTTGGGAGCATTTCCCTGAGATCCTTTCCCTGTTTCTGAACCCCAGGCCCATTTTCACATCTTCTGTTCGCACAACAGCACTAGCCCAGCCCTCCTAGATGCCTGGTCCTTATGGCCACGGCAGCAAAAATTCTAACAAGCATTGAGTTAGCTCTCAGTGAGGCTGTAAGTCAAAAAATCTGAATAAGGAGGTCTGAAGCTGGGGGTGTAAAAGAACTGGAACACTCCAAGTGGGGAGACTGGGGTGACTGCTAGTGAGGCTGGGAAGAAGGTACTAGAATAAGCAGATGGTCAGTTGAAAATGTGTAAGATTGGAATACAAGGACGATAAAAAGGGCAAGTGTGTGAGTAAGAAGGGTTTGGAACAGGATCTTTGAAAAATACAAGAGTCATAATTTCAGATCTATAAGGCTGCTGAAGCATGAGGGCTATTTCCATTACCTGCAAATGGAGTAAGGCAAAACTTAGAAACTTATTCTTGAAAACAGCTTATATACAGCAACCACTTCTAAAAAGAGAATGAAACCACTATTAGTACTAAATTTTCGGCTTTATTAATCCATTTTCATTGAGAATTAATATCTACGTGTCATACTTTTGATAGAAAGTTGTGATGATAACAACCTTCAAGTGCACTAAATAAAGGATTGGCCATGCCATTACAATTAAAAAAATACGAACATAAACTTCTGAAGATGACCATCATGACCAAAAAAAATTGTACACAGTTTTCAGTGTTCACTCAGGTGAGATGCATGTCCACCTGGCAATATGAACTTGAGCAGAACATTTCGTTTACAGATCTCACCATTAGAGAAGGGAGGTTCATAAGTGTAACATCTGAGGGATCACTGGAAAATCAGGATTTGGCCCAGTGAAATCTCAGGGAAGCTAAAAATGGTTTACTTGTACAAATCTACTTGACCCATATTTTGAGCTGAGATCTGCTGGTACAGCATCCACCAAACTAAGCTTCTCAGAAGTATTAAGAAAGGACAAAAAGCTTATTAAAAACAATTATTTCAGAAAGCAGTCTCTTGGGAAGGGTTCCACCTTTCTCATTCAAACCACACTAATTTCAAGAACAATCATATAATTTTTTTTAAAATTACTACAAGTCTTTTGGTGTTGCCCAACGAATGATGCCTTTATTAACATCTTGGATGGAGACAAAACATTGTCAAATCTCTCTAGACAATTCCTGCTGGAATTCTACTTTTGGCAAATGTGTAGAATCAGAAGACAACTGAGCTTTCCAATCAAAGAATGTAAGCAAACAATATCCTGAATGAAAATACTTGCTTTCTACAAACGCTACCAGTTGTCTTTATCCAATGAAATGCGTAAATATACTGATATGACACTTTGCATCCACCTTCTTCTCTTTGGAAACCACATTTAATTTTTGTAGTTATCTTCTAAAATTAAATGAAAAAACACAACCGCATAAAACAAATACCAACCAAGAATACTTTTGAGTTGTAACTTTGTCTTTTGACAAAAGCACTTCAGCATGTGTGGTTCTCACAGGAAGCAAGGGAAATCCAAGTGTAGACTGCAACTCTTCCCCACTGCTGCCCTTAGTTCTTGCGTATCCTGGTACAAAGCAAAATTAGCCCCTCACCCTGCATCAGTCACTTGAGAAGGGCTTGAACCTCAGAAATTAATGAAACCCTGTCCCATTCAACTTTTCTGACTACCCGTATTCAAAATTATGCCACTAACTTTAGTGTTTCAAAGATGTCTGCTTTATGTTCATGTTAATTTGTTCCTGTCGATGCAATAGAAAAAGCTCAGATAAATGAAGTTTTGATATGACATCTAAGTATTTTATTTCTTATTGTAACTTTAAGAGAAGCTCTGGATGATATGTTGAAACCAACAAGCTATCTAGAGGAGGGAAATTAAGACTACTAGTACTATGGCAGCTTGTTCAGCTCCACTTTGCAGGATAGGTGGAGAGAGGTCTTCAAATCCAGTCAGTAATTTAGACAGAATTTTTTTGTAATCATATAAATATTAGAGGTAAATTCCATCATCACTTCTGGAAATAAATGCTACGCACTGTTATTGTAATGAGAATACTTTAAAACAAATATAAAAGATTCTGCTATTCAAATGAACCTTATGGCTGTAATTCTTTGTATGTCACATAAAATGCCATCAAAAGATTCATATACTAATGGCTAATGATCTACAGGAAAGTAAACACTAATGAAATTTCAAGTGATGAATTTTGCATATAATAAATTAAATTATAAAAAAATTGCAAATATGCTGCTACCTAATAAAATATTTGTAGACCTTAGACTTCATTTATCACATAGTGGTACTTAATGTGCTTCACTGCTGCAAGGGCTGGTTATCAACAGCATCAAAATGGGAATATTAATCTCATCTTCCATTAAACACTTTTTGCAAATTATAAGACTAAGAAAGCTGCATTTACACCAATTCCCATTACGGGAGCGGCTCACAGTGCTGGAAAAGATGTGTATAGCCTTAGGATGATGAAACACAGAAATCTCCTTGTATGCTTGAGGGTCATTAAGAAATAAAGCATTTAATCTCAATGTCAAGAATAAGGCTCTTGCCTTTAAGGTACAATACTTTGTGGAGAAACTGTGTCATTGGCATTCTGGGCAGCCCAGAATTGTCTTAGCCCAAGTAATAGGACATGAGTGCCCTATTCAGATGCAAGATCCAGCTCAGAGCTGTTCAGAAAAGGAGGTTGGATGTTCTCCAGCACCTCTCAGTGCACACACTCTCCCTGACATTCTCAGACAAGTTGTTGAAATGAACGTTAACGCCACAGATGATGAGCTCACCCAGTTACCCAAATCCCAGATGAAATTCCCTCAGCTTCGCTGGGGTGAGAGTGAGCAGGATAGAGATGCCTTCATGTTTCTGACACGGGATTCAACCCCAGAGCCTTTTAAAGGACAAACTGGGTCACCATATCCAGCTCAAGAACTGTAGGTACTGGCAAAACAGGGTGGCTGACTTAAGCAGCTAATTGCAAATATTCACTCCCTTTGTGGGCCTAGGATTAATGGTGCAGACGGTGGCAGGGCCGGATGCCAAGCACAGCAATTAAACCAACCTCCTGGAGTGAAGCCAGTGTCACTGAAAATGTGCCTCAGTCGCACAAGTGTGCACTGCAGGGGCGACTCAACTGCTTCCTCTTCTACCTCCTGCACCTCTTCAAACGCCCACGTTTGCACACGTTTTTCCCTTTATTGCTCTTAGCTTATTAGAGAATAGGAAATTCATGCTGCATAATGAAAGATCTAACTACCCCCTAGTATGGAAAATATTTCTATTTAATATTTCACACATTTAGTGGATTTAGAGGCTTGGTTTTTTTCCTCCAGTTTTTTTCATAGCAAATATCATAACTCTCATGTGTGCTTAGATGCTTAGACTTGCTCAAATAAATCAGTTGATTTATAATGGGTTTTAATCTGTGGACTAGAAAAAGAACTGTTCTTATGAATCAAGGACCAGTGAGTGCAGCAATTTATGTGCCAGCTGAGAAAATGGCAAGGATCTGCTTAATCAACCCTATGAATGATATCTATATATATCTATATTGCTGGCTTCTCTGAGAAACTGGAATTGCCTTGTTCATCTCTTTAAGGAACCAAGGAAATTGTGGTTGATGTAGATGACAATGGAGTAATTTCCTTGAACTTCGAATGTGATCAGATGTCTCCAGACTCTAAGTTTGTTTGGTCCAAGAATTATGAACCAATTGAGGATGACTCTCGACTGAACATCGATACCAAAGGCGGAAAGTAAGAAGTCCCAAGGGAAGCCACGGTCTCATGTTTGAGAGATCTAGACAGTCACAGAAATCCATCCTTTTGATGTATGACCTCACTAAGAGCTAAACCCACCTCTTACTTGGAGGCTACTTCCTGAGTATGATGTTCTCCAGCAAGTCCATACGCAGACTGTTTGGAAATTGTAGATCACACAGAATGAGTCAGACCTCCTCTTCGGGGAATTTAGTTATGTTTAGGCATGGGGAGAGAAAATTTGTGCTCTGTCCTCTTATAACCTGTCAGTCAAGGCAGATTATTATTATTATTATTATTGCTATTGCTATTATTTTAAATCTCCAAATAATAAAATTATCTGGCTGCTTGCAAAATGCTTTTGCCATGTAACACAGCTGTAATCTTTGGAGCTGCTGCAGTAAGCAGGGCTTTCTCCTGATGGCATCACCATGGCCCACTTTAGCAATTTACATAATGATCTCCAAGCCCATTCTGTTTCTTCAGGCTTCTCACAGAGGAAGGCATGGCGAATGCACAGGTTCAGCCCTTGAAGGGCCTGTGTGCTCTTCTAGTGATGTAAAAGCCATACTGAAAGAAAAGGGGACTCACCGTAACTACAGTGTTGCATATGGAAATTGAATCGACCTGTAGTTACAGTATCCTTCTAGGGTCATCAAAGACTTGACAGCATTCTCTTTTTTTGGTACTATCTCCATTTATACCACACATGGTAGGACCTACCCTGGTTTATAGGCGCCTGAGCTGTGCATTTGCCTGTTCAGTCAGAGCAATAGCTAATACAAGACTATTTTTGTCTGGTGTTTTAGACATAAAGGAAGGGTTTGGTTAAGACTGATCTCACCTTTTTATCAAAATGCTTTTTTTTCCCCTAAAGGTCAAAAGCTTCCTTTAAGGATCTTGGAGAAGATGATTTGGGAATTTACTCTTGTATTGTTACAGACACTGATGGAGTTTCATCAAGTTACACAATTGATGAGGAAGGTAGACACAATGCCTATTGGGCATGCCTGGTTTGCTTTCACACCTCTTTTTTGCTGCTTCTTTGTTTCTCGGATCCAGACTTTATATTATTTCTTTTATGTCTTTTGCAGAAATGAAACGCCTGCTTGCTCTGAGCCACGAACGCCAATTCCCAAGTAAGTACATCCCATGTCTGTAGGGGAGAGTGGGATATCACAAACCTGATGTAATTGAAGATGTCCCTGCATATTGCAGGGAGGCACTGGACTAGATGACTTTTAAAAGTCCCTTCCAACCCAAACCAATCTATGATTCTATGATCACAAAGCTCATGCCACCATCAAGTAGGGAGGTCACTATAGTAATTTTAAGTGAAAATGGTTTTGAATTGAAAAATCTGAGATTCCTTTATTTTTTTCTCTTTCTTTCAGTACATTTGTGTATCACTGGTGTTCTTCCCAATCAGTTGCAGGCTACTGATCTAGGCATATAATAACCCTATATAACAGCTGGAAAATAAGTATCATGTTGGCTTTGTTTCTTCTGCAGAACAGACTTTTATACTTACTCAGCATACCTAACCTGATTTGAAAACCAGAATTTGAAAAATTATCTAGCTTCTCTCCAACTGAAGTTAGCATAAGTTAAATTTAAGATTAACAAAGCAGGCAAGTGTAGTAAATTCAGCTGTAATGATCTATACATACAGAATTTCCCTGCTAAAATTCATTCCCTCCCTCTTTCTGTAGCATTTGGCAATATGGACATTCTTCCTGCAAATTTAGATGGTATTTTTATCAATTCCACAGACCTCCCATACCTTTATGATATCCTGGTAGTAGCAAAACTCAGTTATTGTCAGTGGAGTGGGACTTTTAAAAATGGGGAAAAAATAATATTGGATTGTATAATGAATTCTATTGCACACAATGAGATGAGACCTAAACCTCATTTAATCTTCTCCCGCTACATTCCCTTTTTCTCTGTTCAAGACCCTGAAACTCTTGTTTTAACATCTTCAGATTTGTGTACGCACTGCTGACACCTCTCCCAACTCAGCCCACACCGCACCTCTCAGCTCAGTCCAAACTTGGCTGCAGAAATGGCCTTTTTGCCCACATCATATCTCTTTCTCATTTCCTTCTGCATCTTTTTCATATCAGCTCTACTCTTCTCAACATACTGTATCACCTTTTGACAGCTTAATGATAGCCTAAACATCCCTTGGTTTACTCCTGCTCCTCCCAATTTTTTCCTCCTAATTATATTTTGACACTGAAAGTTAGTCATCACAAAACCTTACTGCTGCAGCACGACCTCACTTTCTCTGACCCTTCCCTTCTGAGGGCTCTTCCATGCTTTGTGTTCACAACTAATGCCACAAAATAAGCTCCTCAGATCATGTCATCTTTTTTGCGCTGTATTAGGTAACAGCACACTTCTAGTTGTGCATGAGCTTCCAGAACGCACAGGCAAAAAGGGAGATCACTGCAGAAAGTATCCTTAAGGAGGAAACTGTCTTACTTGCTTTGCCCACTCCAGGCCATGTGGGCACTTAAAATAAATACATATATATATATTACAAATAGGGGTTGAGATTCAGCTGACTATGCCTATGAGGTTAGAAAAATAATAATGAGCTTCTCTGGATCAACATGAAATCTTAGTCATATCTCCAGATAATCTGCTTGAGGATTATCCAAATTCTTAAAAACCAAAATTAGTTGCTAGGCACTTCTGATTCAACACGAGCTCTTGCATGTTGCCTTGTTTGTACTTCTGAACAGCAATTAATGGTAACTTCTGCTTAGAAACACCTGCAGCCAGTAACTCCATTGTTTCAATAATGCAGCCTTACAGAACACAGCTATATTTGAGTGCAATAGTGCATTGGTGCTAGGTAAAAATAAATTTTTCTAACTCTGCAATTGAGTAACTGCCCGAGGGCTCCCTGTCAAGTGCTGGCAGTAATTTGTGATGCTATAGAAATAGGATGTAAAACCTTGTAAGCATGATGGCTGGAAAATGACTAAAGTAGCTGCCATTTGGTGCTTATGGAAATATTCTAAAATAAGACTTTTGCTTGTGGCAGACTGTAATGCAGGTTTGTCCAGTTCTTTTGGGCTGAGGAGCAAACAGCCTTTCCACCTCAAAAAGAATCTTTTTGCATCCTTTCAGCCCTTTATTTAACAGCTTCTGAGATACTTTCCTCTCTTCCATGTTAGACTAAGATATTCTAAGTTAATTACAGGCAAGCCAAGTGGGGGTTTAAAATTGCTGTAGAGCTGACAGTGAGACAAAAGCAGTGCAGCCTGATGTCTATTCACACTCCCACTTGCTTCCTGTGCATTTCAGTCACTTTGTTTTGAGAAATTATGCAAGCCCTGAGATTCCTTCTGTTCCTTACATACAAAGGGATAAACTGGGTGAGGAAAGCTCACACAGACCATTTGCACAGCTGGGGCACACTCCTGTGGGGTTGTCTTTGCCCCGCTCCCTCATGATAATGCTGCCCCTCCAGGCTCTCCCCTCTCTGGTTAAGCCTGTGTCGTTTTCGTTAATTGTCTTTGTTTCCCTACGACTGTTGCCTCACCTCCCAGAAGCCTTATTTTCACCAGAGACAGACCCTGTGCAGCTTAGGTACCAAAAGCATACATGCAGGTGTGGGAAGGAGAAGCGATGAGCATGGGAAAGAAGGAGGCGAGTGGTCCTCACTCCCTAAGTTTGTTTGGCATTGGGGTGGGATGACAGTTGTGCTCCAGAAGGCACTTCAGTCATTTAGGACAGTGCAAATATAAAGATGAGAGAAATTAGACACTACTTCGATCCCAGTCCTCTCCTACTGTAACCGAGTCTTTGCATGCACGGTGCTAAAGAAACCACCCTGCCCTGAGATTCCTCTGGAAGGAGGTGTGTCTTTACACTATCACCAAACTATATCATCACATATTTAGCAACGTGTTTGTACACTGTCCTCAGCTGTTCCCTGCTACACCCTGGTACTGCAGACTTTACACTGCTGAGAAAGCAGAGATTGGGGGAAGAGTTCACACGCAGCATACGTAATCCCAAGAGTATGACTTGTCTTGAGAATCTGAGCATCCACTGAGACAGATAAAGCGACGGGAGCCAATAAAATGAGCAATATGCCCCAATATCAGAGTCTAAATGCTCATGTTTAATGTTGCCGACTATGGTATCCTAAAGAAAAGTTAAAGTGAAAGCAAGCTGAGGACTGTTACTAACAAGAACAAGGAAATATTAAAAAAAAAAAAAAAGAGACTAATATTACCTATGGTATAGTACATGATTTTTACGGGTTTTTTTCCCCTGTTAACACAATGAATTGGTTTATATGTGGGTGATTTCCATTATTCATAGGAAAACAAGATGTACTGGGAAGACTAAGGGTGTACTGTGATACTTGGTGATCCTGGAGATGGAGGTTCCACTCAGCAAAGGGTCAGAGTGCTTGCAGAAGTCTCCCAACCTGCAGCTCAGCTGACTTTCTGATCTGGCTTTGTGCTTTGGGGCTGTTTCCTTTTTCCTCTGAGTCACTTCACTGTCTTACAGTAACATTGTTAGGCAACTCATTAAACATGGGTCTGCACCATACAGAACTCATATCATGCTGCACAGATACTTGCTGTTTAACTTTGAAATAGCCTTTTATTAGAATGGAGCATAACTCAAATGCTGAACACTTTTGGTTTGTACAGACCTTGTTATTGAAGGATCAGAAGATTAAATCTTATCTGTCATCCTATAACAGATATATGTGGGTGGAGAGGCATTCTGTCTATATGAAAAGCCATCATGAAAAGCTAGTTACCTTGCATACAGTATCCAAGTATGAAAGAATAAGTGGCTTTCTGAAAGTAGAAGAAAACAGTTATTGGGGCACTGGCAAAATATATGCCTCATTCTTTTCTTCCTTCTCTGTAGCTATCCCACTTACTTCTGAGTTGGCAGTGGAAATTTTGGAAAAAGGAGAAGTGAGATTCTGGTTGCAAGCTGAAAAACTGTCTGGCAATGCAAAGGCCAACTTTGTATTTAATGATAAGGAGATTTTCAATGGAGAGGTAAGCCTTTTCACTTCTTAAATGTGTTTGCATTTTTATGAGTATCAATGAGTATTAGTGTCTCTGTCTCTAATATACTTCCAACTACTATTCCACACTAATGCATTTTTATGAGAAATAACATAAATCATGGAAAGCATAAATAGAAAGATTCTGTCTATAGTTCTGAGCTCCAGATCAATTCTACTGGATGCAGTCTATACAGGGAAGTTAAATGCCTTCCTGCCACCTGAGTACCACATGTTCTGCTAACTAGTGGGGACCACAGGTGTTCCTGCAATAAAGTAGCCCCAGGTAAGCAGCGACTCTGGTTTCAAGGAATCAGTGCAGTAACCCAGATCCATCCTATCTCCTTCATCTATGGCTCTAGAATACCCTTGTGCTTGGTTCTCACCTCCTTTTGTTGTTTGGAGGAATTTATTACAGCACAGAAAAATTCCCAAGCAGTTGTTTCCAGCAGCAAACTTTGTTACTCCCAAAAACAGGACATGGCATGTTTTTGTTGTAACACTGATATCAGATATAAGGCAGAGATGGCACATTCTACATATAACCTTATCAAATATAATCATGCTCAAATAAAGAGTTATTCTGAAGACATGCAAATCTAAACCTTTCTAATGAAAAAGGACACAGTACTCACTGTACAACACGGATGTCACATGCTTGTATAGCATCAATAAATAGGCTTCACCTTCAATAAATTTATTTAGCTGGAACAGGAGACAGTGGGACTCTGGACAAGTGGGTGTCTGAATTAAGAAAACTGAATTTCATCTATAGACATGTAAATATTCACAAATATTTTCTGTCTCTGATATGCATTAACTGTTGTTTTACTTTCCACTCCTGAAGAAATATAAAATGAAGGTGGACCAGACGACCGGCCTTATTGAAATGATTATGGATAAACTTGAGGAAAAGGATGAAGGCACTTACACTTTCCAACTGCAGGATGGAAAAGCCACCAATCAATCTAGCCTTGTCCTCATTGGTGATGGTAGGCTAATCTGTATTATGCAGTGGGTTGGAAAAATTATACAGAGGTTATCTCAGTTGTTGCCTTCACTTTCCACTGTTTTCAATATCAGTAGACCTTCTAGGTTTTTTATGTCACAGTTTTGTCTGCCTCACACAGGACAGGGCTTGTGTGCAAACTGAAATTTTTAAAGTGATGGGAGAAAGGGGAATTGTTACAGAAATGCAAAATATTGCAGCATGTCATGGTTAGCTTTTCTATGGGTGGAATGAAAATTTCCCATGTAAGAAGCCCATTCAGCCAGGAACAAGCAGCTGCACCTGTCAGAGCTCAAGCGGCTGCTGACACTGCTGCCGCTCATTTGCCTTCCTACCAGGAGTGGAAAGTATGACTGGGGATTGCACATCATCAGACAGGACACATTAAAGTCCTGACAACTGCAAGCAGCTGGGAAAGTTGAGTTAGCTGTAATCAGCTTCTGACACTCTGAAATTTCCAGTGAAAACCTAACCCCGTGGCTGGATGCTCACTGACATCCAAGGGACAGAATTGCTCCTAACTGTTACAGCGACATTCAGCACCCTACAAATGGCACATGAAGTTTAACCTTGTGTTTCTTACTGGTTTTAATTCCTAGTATTCAAGAAGCTACGGGATGAAGCAGATTTCCAGAGAAAAGATTGGCAGAGGAAACAAGGTGATAATATGATTATTTATAAGAATTGCATATGTGTTAGCCTGCTAAGAGTTTGATTATACTTTTATATGCTAATTTGAAATAGATGAGTTTTATTCTGTTGCATGGTTATTTCCTTCTGAAGGAGAAATAAGAAAAATAAAATTATATTAAAATGTAACTATTCCTGTCAAGTAAAACACATCTGTCTTTGGTTTTGTACCATGAATACCATTGATGTGACCTTTAAAAACATATGTGTAACTTTAAACAGGTCCTCATTTTGTGGATGGACTGGGATGGGAAGTTACCGATGAGTGTAACGTGATGCTGAAATGTAAGGTAAGGGACAAAGAAAACCGAGTTCAATGTTCAAAGCACTTTGACCTACCACTACTTAGATGGTGAGGGTGGGAAGGGACTAAAGACACACCCTTTGCTTTTGAACTCCCAACTGCATATTGGATAGTGACAGAGTCTCTGAAGGGTAATCATGCTGGGGCAAAAGCTCATTATGTGTAACAAAATACATTAGAAAATAGCTTGAACTTTTTAGGTCTGTCAGCTACCCACTCAGTGAAAGGCACCTGAATAGGAATGGCAAGTCTTTACAAATCCTGTAACTTTCTCATTTTCGGCCTGTTTATGTGTGCAGAAATAGCCTGAGCAGGATTCACTGTTTCCCTGAGCTCCTTTTGTCTCTCTTTTCATCCCTGCTCTTTTCCCTCTTGCCTCCCTCATTTTAAAATGGAGGCTTGCAATAATTCACTGCAACCAAGTTGTAAAGCTTGCTTTTCTTTTATGAGAGACCTGAACAGGCTAACCCATGCAACACTTGAGTTCCCCTGCTCAAATGAAGAGAATAATTGCGATGTGGTTTTCATCCATCCTAGGTGGCTAATATTAAGAAGGAAACACACATTGTATGGTACAAAGATGACAGGGAGATAATGGTAGATGAAGAACATGACTTTAAGGATGGAGTGTGTACTCTGCTGATATCAGAGGTGAGTGACTGTCCTCATTAGCCCTCAGCTGAAGTTAGTGCTGTGAACTCAGATAAATGATACGATCTAATCTGATACTCCAGCAGAACAATTGAAAAAGGAAGTGGGTTTTAAAAATGGAAAAACTCACAAGGCGTCTGTGTTTTAGCTAAAGAAAATGTCTGTCTGTAAGTGCTTGTTCGGGTTTTCAGGAAATGATGACTGAAGAGATAATAAGCTTGTCACTTCCTTTGCATGTCAGCTGAGAAACAGATTGAGACTACATTTCCATTTTGAATAGCATTTGGAAAGTGCATGTCACTCAGGCTTTCAGAGGACCACCCTCTCAGAGTCACTACAGGGGTCTGGTGCTTACCCAGCCTTGCAGCAGATGTGGGGGGGGACAAGGTCCTGCACACCATGATGCACCTGCCAGAGCCCATCCCGCAGGGCACCTTGGGGGCACTGGGGCAGCTCCAGCCCCAGGCATCAGGTACCTCCCCAGGGACAGAGACAGGATATCAGCTGGGTTCAGAAGTAAAATCTAGATTTTTCTACAGTACTTGTTCTGAAAACTGATTTTACTCTTACAATATTGCAGTTTTCTAAGAAAGATGCTGGCACTTATGAAGTCATACTGAAGGATGACAGAGGAAAGGACTCCAGCGAGCTGAAGCTTAAGGACACAGGTCAGAGTCTCAATGCTCTCAACTACACCAGCTGACAGCCTGACTGAAGTGGGTTTGGGGTAGTACAGGCATCTGCACATGTCAGCTTCTTGTGGCTTTGTTCCTCCTGTGTACAAGATCATCTGATTAGAAAAGCTGAGATTTTTAAGTCCAAATAACATTTGAATACAGCTTATTTCATCTGGGTTCTGTATAACTTTGGGAGCATATGATGACTAACACTAAGCAAAATGATAACAGGTTTCCTCAGAGGGACATCAGTAAATCTACAAGTATAGAAGAAAAATTACAGAAGTAGATAATTTAAAAAACTTTCACATTTTTATTATGTTTTCCCATTTATTTAGGGGCTTTCACACTTATTGCATTTACTTGTTTCCAAAAAAATGGAGGAAAATCCTATCCTTTAGAATGTATATAGATGGGTTAGCATTCCAGCTGAATAGTATCATTTAAAAAAAAAAATAGTTTTTTTCAGCTGCAGCAGTATTCTCCAAGGCTGTATTTAAATAAAGTCTGGAAACTCTGAAATAACAGGCTACATTTCTGCATTACTTAGATTTCTAATATGCTTTAGAAGGTAGGTCTGATTGCTCTTTCAAACCTACTGGGGAGCATATTTCAGAGCCAGTACTTGTCCTATCATTGACTGTGCTTGAACTGCAGACATAGAGTCTTAGTCTCTGGATTTTATTTCCACAGCTTTTGCAGACCTGATGAATGAAGTATGCCGAAGGATTGGTAAGTACTTAATTCTCTTTTCGAATGAATGACTCATTGTGGCACTCAATGAATGGCTGCATGGCTGCATAAAACCATTTGCTCTTCTTTCAGCTTTATCTGCAACAGACCTGAAAATCCAGAGCACAGCTGAGGGTATCAGACTCTACTCCTACGTTACTTATTATGTGGAAGATTTGAGAGTAGGCTGGGTGCACAAGTAAGTAAACAAAATCTTGGCAAAACTCAGTGCAATTTTGCTTTTATAGATTCAGAAAGAAACTGGTTGTGTGAGAGAGGTGAGGCCCAGGTTTGTTCTCATCTCTCATGAGTCCTTATCTCATATAAGTTAGTTTCAGTCAATTACATTTACATGAAACCAGTACGAAAGTCGGGTGTTAGCGGTGCCAGGCCCTCCTGTTGTTTCTCTTATGGAACAGATAGTTCCATGCCACGGGATGCTGTCAGGACCATGTTGCTTCAGAGCACTTCCTATCTCCCCGATGGGAGCTACATCTTTCCCTGACTCAATTTTGAGGAGTGATGCAAATATAACCTGAGAGACCGTCCTGAAATACCTACCCTGGAGGTCTGCTTTTCTAGAAGACACAATTCACTGGAACTGGGACAAGCAGGCATGTCCTCTTAATGTATGGCTTCATTTTTAGAAGGCAAAGCAAATTCCGGTGAGTGCCCGGGGCAGTAAAATCCAGACAGCCCCTCCTGAGAGCACTACAAATCTAACCAAGACAGACAGAAGAACTGAAGTTTTTAAAAAGAATTCTAGTGTCCAGTTCCCCATAAAATTAATGGGAGTTGCACATCCAAATGATTTGATGTTCTTTGAGTTCTCAGCCAGCACATATAGCATGCACTGGAAAAGACTGAGAAATAAACAATTTAGATTGCTTAAATCTATTATTACTGTTCTTGTCATGTCTGTGGACATGGTAGTAGTTAGTCTTTTTGGATGGAATCTGAATTACTGATCTCTCAATAAAACTCATATAAATGAGGCACAGAATACCCAGAACGTGCTGTAGCAGGCTGGCTGTAATTATTGACACTGATGCTAACCAGCACCCTGTCAGAGAAATAAAGCAGTTTGAGGCCTGGTTCTTTCTTGCCATCCATTTTGACCCCGTATCACCAAATGTCCTAAGTATTTCAAATAAGTGTAAGTGAATATGAGGTATTCTGGGAGTTTTTTCCCTCTCTCTTTCTCTCTCTCTCTTTTCTCCATTTAATTTTTGGAAACTTACTTCATCTTGAAGTGTGCCAAAATAACCTAGAAAAAATTATTTTTCCCTCCACTACATTCAAAATTATCAATTTAAAGATAGTAAGAAAACTAGTAGCTTATTTGACAAATATCTTTTGACTGGCAATTAACTGCTAAGCTAGGAAGCTGAGAAATTGATTTTCTTTTTTTTTTTTTTGGGGGGGGGGGGAGAAGATATACTTATGTCAAAGCATGTTTAACTGTAAGTGCCAAACATAGCAGAGCATCAGAAAACATTCTAACTGGGCAAACAGTTTGTTACAAAAGTGGGTTTTTTGTAGATACAGCGCTCTACACTATTGTTCTGCCCAAGCAGAAATAAACCTATGCTAAAAAGAAAACAGGAACATTTCAGGATTCAAGGATTACCCTTCATAGATGTGACTTTTAAATATGAATAGTTCTTTTATGGCTCAGATCATAGATTAGGATGCATAACCTTTCTGCAAGCTTTGAGGAGAGTTGGACCTTGAACAGGGAAAGATTGTCACACTGTCACACCAACTTTGCCCAGTTGGTTCACAGCTTTAGGAAGGATTTGACTTCTGAAGTTTCAAAATTTGGTGGCATACCATAACATCTTGAAAATTATTTAGTAACTACAGATGTACTCAGTGGCTCAACATGAGTAAAACCCATTTATGTTCCAGTAAAATGAAAAGGTAACATTTTGTATTTTTCAGTGATACTCAGATTAAGTTCACAGACCGAGTGAAGACTGGTGTCACTGGGGAGCAGATCTGGTTGCAGATCAATGAGCCAACTCCACAGGACAAGGGCAAATACATAATGGAACTCTTTGATGGCAACACAGCACACAAAAAGACAATAGATCTTTCTGGACAAGGTAGGCCGTTCCCTCTGCTAACATTACCTGTGTGTGGGCACTACGCTGTGCCAGGGTAGGAGCATCTACAGCAGGATCTTGCTACAGACCTGTTACCTTTTGGGGTCTGTGTGTGCACCCACCAATCTGCCAGTGTTTGTAGGAGCAGTGCCATTTGTTCTCCCCGACCTGTGCTCTCGGGTCATAAATTACAAATGGCTTTTTCCTATTCCAAATACCCGCTTACAGTTTGCCTATTGAGACATCAGTCCAGTGTCAGAGCTACCTTACAAAACCCCTTGTGCTGCTGGCATTGCTTGGCAGCTTTAGAAATGAGTTGTAGCACTGAATGCCTTCTGTATCTCTCCCTTCCAAGTAATATTTTGAGGAGGAAGTGAGGGACAATTTTGTTCTGTTACTTTTCTACTGTATTCCTTTGACTGATATAAGAGAGCTACTTATTCTTGAGAGATGCCAAGACCTTTCATCAGCGTGATCAAAGATTGTTAGTGGAACAGATAAAATTATTTGGATTGACTGTTGGAAGATTTTACTCTGAGAGACCTCTCAGATTTTAGGGAAAAGATTAACTCCTTCCAAACTTCTGAGTTGCCATTCCCAGCTATTCTCATCCCTAAAGCTTCACTTTTGGTCTGCAAACTCTGTGTAAGGGCAACAGCCTTATAATCATCTCCATGCTGCTCCTTCTGTACTCTATCTCCACTTTCTGAGAAAAGACATCTCTTCTTCCCTTTCAAAGCAGGAGAGGTTGACCTCCCACATGATGGCACCTTAGCCTGAGTTTACAAAGGAGGCAACAATGTGCTGTTTGGTTTGCTCATAGCCATCAGTGTAGTGCTTCAGAGCAGGTGTGAGAAGCACTTCAAAAAAACATATCTCTTGTATTCCATAAACCAGTGGTCTCTGAAGTAAGGTATCTGCAAGATGACCCAGTGCACACTACTGGGGTGTGGGAAGAAAATACAAGAACTTTGCTACATAATCTATAAATAAATATACATATATTTTGAGTGCACGCTCAAAAAAATTTTAGATAGGGGTGTATAATTAAAACATTTGGGAGGTCACTGCCATAGTCTATCATTTAAGTGTTGTATTGTGCATTTCTTCCTCTATTTCGTGAAATTACTTCAGTCTACTATTTCCCTGCTGTTTCTTTGTCTTAAAGCTTTTCTTCTAGAAGAAAAAAAGCATGTTTATGCATTCATATGTATATATGATATCTGCCATGTGCCAGATAGTCTTTATTATTTGAACCATTCAGCATTTTAGGATTTGTACAATATACATGCATGCATCCATTAATATTTCTTTATTGATGTCTACATTTTAAATTTATTTCTACATTTTAAATTTAAACCTGTGACAATTTATCTCTAAACGTAGTTTTTTTCTCTTTTCAAAGCATTTGATGAAGCCTTTGCCGAGTTCGAGAGATTAAAGTAAGTATTATGCCATCTAAATACAATAATGGCAGCCAAAAAATAATAACAGTATTTGTTTGTTTTGGGCTAAAATCTAACTATGTCTTATGAAACAAATCCTAGTCCTACAGAAGCCTGTAGGAGTTTTGCATGTGACTTCTTTGGTGCAACTCTTATGTAACAACTAGGTAACAAAGAAAAAGCAGTATTGCCAAATGATGACAGATATTTTCCTTAATGGATTAAAGGCAGTTAAAAAGATAATCTACTTTTCTATCACTCTAAGTAAACCTTAACTGAAATTGGACTTTCTCTTTGTTTCTTTCAACTCCAGGCAAGCTGCGATTGCAGAGAAAAGTAAGTTGGTCTTCTTCAACAATGGTTGTAATAAACTGTTTGTGAAGGTTTTCTCCCTTTCCAGGAAGGTTTTGTGTTGGGAAAGAGAGGGCATGTATACATGTGTATGTGTGTTTGCTTGTCCTAAAAGGAGTTTATCCTTACACCAAGGAGAAGTAAGTGACCTTTTAGTGATTTATCATTGGTGCACATTGCAGCTAATCACAATGTAGTTATGGGTTATGTTGATTTTTCCCATCTAAGCTCCCATTCTCCTTACCAGCTAGCCTTCTCTAAAAATTAACTTTATTGCTGAGATCTCTCATGCACATTCTCTGCACAAAAGTCACTTTGTTTTCAAAGATGGAGGAAATAATTTGGCCGGTTTTGAATGCTCTAAAATGTCAAAGGATCTGCGTTACATACAGAAATGAATAAGAAAGCAACAGTAGCTTTTGTGTTGGATAGAATCTCCTCATACTTTTGCCTCTGTGTCAATTCCAACATAGCAACTAAAACAAAAGTATGTAATAACTACTTAAGGAGTAAGTCATTAGACTTCAACTTGAATTATTAAACTCATTCTTCCTATTTACAGAAAAATGCAAGGAAAAAAAATTGTCCCACTGCAGATTACTTTCAGACCTGTATAAAAATGAGATCAAAATTGGCATTCAAAAAGTTATTGAGAAAAATGTGTACAGACATCTGAGCTAACTCCTCCTGGACATATACTCCAAAAAGAGCAGGTCTTGATTATGTGATCCCTACAGGTCCCAGCTGAGACAGCACAAAGGGATCAGTAACAGAATAGACCTGGGCATTTTATTTCTAGCCATGGACCATCCATAAGGGATTGGCATGTTAAATGACATAACACAGTTCCTTTCCTGGTCTCGGAAGGTTGTTATCTCTGTGCTCCAGAGCACATCCTTGATAGAACACATTAGAGGGGAACATTCTGTACAGTCATTTCCTTCCTCTGCCAGGCTCCGCCCAGATATGTAACGAACAAAATCCATTTTCCAGTATAAGTGCACTATACCCTCCATGTGATTGGCTTATTCATATTTGTGTAAGATTTCTACAGGACTCTGACCTTAAAACTAGATCAATCAGGTATCAATCTCATTTACACATAGGTACATACAAACAAGTGGAACATCACTGTTAACACTGAGACTTAAGTCTGTCTTTCTATTTAGGTTAAAACCTGATCTCCAGCACTTCATCAAGTGTCATTCATTTCCCCTTGGAAACCCAGTGTCTTTAGTTTACTACACTAAAAATTTAGAAAACCGGATCTCAAAAATTTTATTTTCTTTTTGTACACTCAGAAGTAACAGTGAATTGATGTCAAATTCTGCAGAACACAGCATATGTACTTTAATTCCCCTCTGTAAGTGATTCACACCAGCTATTAACACATTTTTTGCTGTGAATTCAACATTTTTTAAAGTCCAAATGGTGTGCTAAAAATGCTGAATAGTTCTCTGATAGAGCAAATATCAGAGACAAGTTGTACATAAATAAGACAAAGGGAAAGAACAAGAAGAGAAATAGAATCAGGCACACAGAATCCAGCACACAGTTGATTTTAAGACACTAAAGAAAATTATGGTTCTTTATTTTCAGATCGTGCCCGAGTACTTGGAGGTTTGCCCGATGTTGTCACCATCCAGGAGGGCAAGGTACAGTAAATTAACTGAAGCTCTGCACAACATCCCAACAGCTTGAATGCCTGTCTATGATGGGAAAACATTCAACTTTTTTTTTTCTTAAAGATGCCATCTTTAAAATCTGCTGCATTATTTATTTGTCCCCTGCCTTCTGTACATAATTCAATGGTCTATCACAGATGGCTTTATATATTCAGGGCAGTGTCTTTTCCTAAGAATTAGATAAAAGTGAGATGCCAATGTGAGTTGGGATTAAAATTCCTTATATAACCAGCTCTTTAAAAATTCATGCACAGGTTTCACAGTTAATTTTTTTTTTGTAGGAGGGCATCAAGTTTAATTCCTTTTTTTACACGGTAGCTAGTCATTCCATGTCTTCTGCAGTTAACTTCCTTGCAATGTGGCATGGAAGCCACATAGTCACATCTGTCAAAGCTGGCTTTTAAATGGTATAAAAGCAGTAAACCACAATACCTCTATTCTCATACAGACAAAAGGAGAAAATTTTCTCTATGCCATCAGGGTAAAGGAGAGAGAAGTCAAAATAAGTCACTGGTGTTACGCTGGATTATATTAGGAGAGTTTAGCTGAAAGATTATTGTAAGGCACTCCCAGAGGAACATCAATGCTTGAGCATAGAACAGATGACCCAGAAAATCAGTTGTCAATCTCACAACCTTTTCCCAGCACACTGCTTCTACAAGTTCCTGCTTAATATTACTGAGACCAAGAATTGTCTGCTCTTCACTTCCTGCTGCTCTGCCACGATCCAGTTTCTCTTCGCAGTGTGTGCTAACATGGAAATAGGGCATGTGAATGTCAGTAAAAACCTGCAATGTGACAACTACAGTAAGGCATCTTTCTGATATTTCTGGCTTTATTTGGCAGTAGGTCAGCCGGGTTAAAAGTATTTGATTATAGGTTCAGCAGAAGTGTTAAGAATCTAAAATCTTGTTCTGAATCACTTAACAATGTGAGACATAGCATAACCAACAGATAATAGACTGCAGCAGTTCTAGGCATTACAAAATGAAATTATGTTTGATTAAACCTTTCTTTAAAGGATTGAGCAGTTTAGGAAATGCTACAGAAGTAAGAAGCACTCATATGAGCATTGTAACTGTAGGTAGAACACACAAAGAAATAGAACAAATTAGCAGATTCTCAGCTAATCAGTGCTTGTGCTTGGAGATATGATTCCCATAATGCTTTGGTGGGGGTAAATTTGGGTGGTTATTGCCAGTTTTAAGCATTCACCTAAAAGAGAGTTGATACGAACTTGAGTAAGAGTTCACTGAAGCAAATGTGTAGTTTTAAAAAGAGTTTGTAGAAAATGAGTTGCAAAATCTTATCCAGACACACACTGTCCTTGAGAGCAAGGACATTTGTAATGATTGAATAAACGACTGAAATACTCCCAGAACTCGAGACAAATATCCTTGAACTTATGTTTCTTGATTCAGTAGATGATCATTTTGAGTAGGACAGAGAGTGATCAGGGAAAACAGAGCTTGTTTGGGTGGTGTTGGCTCATCTGTGTATTGTTTTCATATATGCTTGAGAGAGGGGAATGAAGTTCTGCATTGTGTAATTCGTGCAAACTGCACAATCATCAAGGATTTTGAAAAACAACAAATGAGGTAGCAGGGGTCTGGCAATTGCAAGCTTTGATTGTGAGTACTTGTGCAGCCATGACCACAGGGCTGTATGAACAGATTGGTATCCCTAGACTGAACTTCCAAGCATAGGTATATCTCAGATTTAAACTTAACATTGTTACTGTGATGATATTTATTAGCTTTTTACATGTGAACTGAAGGATATTGATGAGAATGAATGAAGCAGTGTTTACCCAGTGTAAATCAAATAGCATTCCAGATGGCCTAAGAGGCTTCCACTGATAGACATAAATGCTCTTCATCAGTATGGTATAATTGGAAAAGGCTAAGTGTCAATTCACATTAGGGAGGAATTTGACAGAGAATACTAGCATAAGTTTTGTGTCCGGCCGGCCAAATTAACCTAAGTGGCTGTCTTAATGAAGGTCTGTGAGTAAGTTGGCTTTATTTTTAAAAGGAGAGGCTTAGGATTTTGTCAGGCACTTTCAAAGAAGCAACATGTAACATCCTTCTGCCAGAGGTAGGTGTCCTCACAGCTAGGCTGGAAGAAAGGAACAGGTTTCCCTGACTGAGCTGCTTCAATTCTCTCACCAAACTGTCCATGAATGTGAATGTGTGCTACTATGCAAGAATAATGGCAATACTTAAAATACAGTAACACATTTCCCTCTGCCACTTGTATTACATTCAATACAATCTGTAGTCAAAGGCAGAAAAGATAGTGAGGGACACAAAGGGTCTGGACTTGCAGCTGCTGGTTGCTCCAAGTGCATGTGTCTCAATGCCCCAGATCCAGGAGTACAGGACACACGGTTTTTTTACCATGATAAGGATTTTACATTGAACACAGTATTATAATCAGGGCGTTCAGTGAGTAATAAAGATATACATGCGCAAAGACAATCTTTTGCCCAAAGAACAGAAAATCTGCAACGGACAGGTGTAGTGAAAATGAACAATTACTTCTCATTGGCTATGGAATTACCTTCCAGAAAAATCAAAGATCTCAGCATCTACGTAGTGAATTATAAGACACATCTCTGCACATTAGTAACTGGAAAATAAATAGAGTTGGAAACATAAGAGGAGCACCGATGTCAAACATGAGCTAGTGACGCAAGGTTAAGGAAAATGTAGGTATTTTAGGGAGTGATTTAGAAGAAGAAAGGAGTCATCACTGCTGCTTGAATCTCTTTGAATTAAGGAGTACTGACAGCACTTCAAACATCTCAGGTTTGAATGATGCCACTAATAGAGCTGTCTGGACATGGACATCAGCTCATTAGCATTGTGGTGGAGTGGCAGCTGGGGCCACTCAGTGCTGATCTCCTGCTTGCTAGAGAATCAGAAGACAACAAAGCAATACCGAGCACCTGAAGGTGCCCATACCAAGCACCTGGAGGTACCTGAAGGCTAAGGCTAAGGCTAAGGACATGTCTGTGTCGAGTGTGATAAGGAAGAAGGAAAAATGTAAAACCTCTCATTTCCCCCTTGTTTTTCAAAAAGATGGACTGATATGGCAATCAAAACCACATTCATACCAGTGGGCTACAAGAGAAGGTAGTCAACAGTCCTATGTGGTCACCAGCTGTAGGTGCTGCAGGAAATCAGATAGAGGCCATTTCCACCATGCTGTAACCACCTCTTACTTGGAATCTGTCCTTCCCTCAGTACCAACAATTATGTGTTCTTGATGGAGGAAAGACTTCCTCTTTCCTTTTGTTCTCATTTTAGTCTTTAGGGCAGGCGTGTGAGATTTATTGGATTTTTATTTTGTTCTCAAAGATATCAAAACCTTTTATTTTTATAAAGGTATCAATTTTTCTATCTGCTCATTTCAATAGCCTTCTGGGCATCTGTCTTCTGTCCCATCTTCCACCATCACACTACCAGATAATAAGCAGAGAGTTAAAGGGAAAGTAGCCAGGTAAATAGATTTCTCACCGTGGATTTTTATCTTGACAGCTTATAGGGACAACGGTGGGAGTGCTCTTCAGTTGTCTCTATTTTTGACACATTTTTATAAAAAGCCTTTAAATAAAGTGGAAGAAAAACTTGATTCCTGTCAAGTGGAAGCTTGTCTATTCCTTATGTATGACTTAGTCCATTCTTAATGAACCACTGAAGACCATTTTCTCTGCACTAGAAGTTCTTAAATTACCAATCAAGAGAAAGTGAGATTCCCCTTTGAATAGCATTTTAAATCTTTTAAAAAGACCAATGTACTATTCAATACTTACATATAAATAAATTCCTTCCTGAATAAAGCTCCAGAGAAAGGCCTATGTACCACTACAGTGTAACATGAACTTCCTTCACATTTGACTCTCTACATGATATTCACTTTTGCAAACACTTTCAAGAGTATTCCCATGGTGCTGTGACCAGAGGCTGGGATCATTTATATGTATCAATATCCCAAACATGAATTTCTTAGCTGGCAAGAAAAAAAAGGAGACCTGAACATTGTGTGCCCAAGATACTTGCCAACCTACTGAAGGTAGAAGAAGCTGCCAGTGATCCCTCCAACAACGTGATTCTCTGACAGTGAAGATACTTCCTTCAGTTTGATGGAACTGAATTCAGCCCTTAGGAACATTACTAGCATCAAAGGGAAATACCAAAGAATGAGTAAAGCCTGTATTGATTTCAGTTAAAAATAGTTTTACAGGAGTGCATAAAACAATTCCAGTTTGTTAGAAGAGCTGTCAGGGCATAGTTTAAAAGGATCCCAAATTAAACAAAATATTCCAGGGACACTTTGCCCTTTGTTATTTAAAAAAACAGGCATGCTTTCTTTACTTATGGAATAAAGATATAGTGAGCTTAATGTGAACAAAATCTGAACAAAATCTGAACAAAACCATCTGACAGTTCATCAAAATCTCATTTCAGATCTAACACACAAATGCAGATAATATCTAATTTTATATTAAACGATATGCATGGAGAAAGCTCTGCTAATGATTATGACAGTAGAGAAGAAGGTCCATAAAATATTGAAAGCTTTTAATGGCATTTTTGAATTGAGTTCCTTCTTTTCCTTTATGATACAGAAGACTGACATAAATTATTGATTACTTATGATGGTATGCATCCATTTACTAAAAGCAGGAAGGCGAATGGGGAGTTGGAATATTTGGAGAGTGAGGCATTAGAAAATGTAGCAAATATTCACTGACTCATAAGTCCTTTGTATTTTCTCTACAGGCACTTAATCTCTCTTGCACTGTCTGGGGAGATCCCACTCCAGAGGTCTCATGGCTGAAGAACGAAAAATCTTTTGTATCAGATGCTAATTGCATCCTGAGGTTTGAATCAGGAAAAAATGTCAGCTTTTCCATTTCTACTGTGTCTACACACGACTCTGGGAAATACAGCATTGTGGTGAAGAACAAGTACGGTACAGAGACCAGTGATGTCACCGTAAGTGTGTATATACCTGAGGAAGAGAGAGAGTCTGAGCAAGAAAAACAGAAATGAAAGCATGAGTTTAAGACTAGAAGACAGAAGTATGGGGGAGATTTTGGATGATAGGATGACATAATTAGTGTGTGTAACTGGCTTTCTGCTTTAGCAGGCAGCCTTGGATTTTTCCATTCACTTCACTTTTGCTTCTAGTACACTTATTGTGCCAGGGAAAACAGGTCCAGTTGTGTTCTAACACAGGTCCAACATTTGACCCTTTCCCTGGAGCATCTGGAAGGAAAGGGTCAAGAATTGTTTCAGTGGAAGCAACTGATGTGGTAGATGGAAAGATTGAAAATGATCAAGGCATTTTTGAGCAGCAGTTAGGATTTATTCCAGGTTTGGTAAAGTAGCATAGATGGAATGTGTTAGATCATAGAGAAATTAGTGCTGGTTTTTGTCTACGTTGAGGCCTCTTTGTATTGCTGTGTTAATTTAGAGAAGCCTTAAAATGGGTGTCATTTACATCCTGAAATATTGTTTAATCTGCCCAAATGGGGTAAAAGTACTGTAACATAAATGAAAATAAGGCTTAGTAGGCCAGGATACTAATATGTGTGCGTGTGTATGTGTCTGTAAAAATGTATGAACTCTCCTCTCTGTTCACAAATAAACTGAATTCACTTCTTTCCTTCTATCACAAGCTGGTTTCACTGTCTTGTTTTACTAGTCACAGCTCTGGTAGTTGTACACATTATCTTAGCGTCTTAATGCTTTCACACTTTAATTACCTTCAGCTTCCCTTTAGATCCTTGTTAATCTTCACTTTGCTGTTTATGACAAAACTCACAATGGCATCTCTTCACACCTTTCTGTCCAGACCTTCACTACTTCACATCTCAACTCAACAAGGTATTTTTGCAAATTCTGGCACAGGAGTAGTCTTGTGCTTCCTCAACGGACCTGCTCACAAACTGTGATTTAAGGGTGTTAGGTAAGTATTTTGTTAGATCAAAGTGTCAGTTAATTTCATTCAAAATTGACATTGGAGATCCAGAAATAACATATTTCATCAAGATCTTTTAAAGCTGCAAAAAGAATCTTCACTGGACCATAGGAAAAAAATGTGGTTGGGGTTTTTTTGGGGGTTTTTTTTTGGATAAAAATGTTTCAGAGAAAAAAACATTTGTCCAGATCTTTGAACACACTTACATAGATTAAAAACTCCATGTCAGCTATTTTACAGTGCCATTAATTATTATTCACTGAGGAAAAGCAACAGATCCTGCTGGACATATATAGGATATATATATATGATACTAGATATACATAGGATAGGGTCAGAAGCAGTTACCAGCCCAATTGCTAGTTAGGAGAGCAATGTCCCATGTCTATAAATCTCTTCATTACTAGTTTCACAACGGCACAATTCTTCACATCAAAGTCTAAAGAACTAACACATATATTTTCACTACAAGCATGATCTGTGCGCACCTTTCACGTACTGTCCCTTGTCGATTTTGACTACTGTAACTGCAGACATACTGCTGTTTCCCAGGGACTCATTTTGGTGCAGTACTGGCATTTCTGTGAGAATGCCACTACTAAGTGTTGTACAGTTAATGCTCACTTAAACCCTTGCCATCTGAGGTTTACTGTCAGCTAACATCAAAGGTGAAGTGAAAGTATGAGGAAATTCTTGATGGTTCAGGTAAAAATAGATTCAACATAGTTATCAATGGTGAAAGTGCTGATTTTTGCAATTTTTATTTTTTTTTTAAATCAGTTTCTATAAAGGGCTAATGATCATGATCTTAATCTCTATAAAAATAGTCCAGATTTAGATCAGACTTATAAATTACCAAAATATGTTACCATGTGCCTAACTTTATGCACTAATAGTATCACCAGTATCAAGGAACATGTTAAGTTTATCTGGTATGAATCTTTTTTCTTTCAGAACAGATTTCACGTCACAGGGATTTTTAACATGAAATTATGTAAAGATAATGTGTTTTCAGCATTCAGTATGTGTTCACACAGCCTTATCTCCTAAAATGGTTAAAGCTCAAGTATCAAACTTGATGACATTATTGCAATTTTAAGATTTACTTGTGTAATTATGTACATTAGTAATCTCTTATAAAAAAAAGTTCAGACTATTTAGTCACAGCAGCTGCATATCAGACAAAGTAACATAGCTTAATTTTAAAATCTCAAAATACAATAATGAGAAGATCTGTAATTAGATATACAGCAAACTTTCTGAGTTTAAAGAACTCAGAAAAATTTAAATTAAAAAAATTTTAAATGATTTCATAATTTTTCTTAGTATGACATGAAGCCAATGCAAGGATGATATGCAGGTCACTCCATCTTTGTCCAGGGATATATATACCACAGAAACAAGTGTCACAGCTCTTCCATCCTCCAGAGTGCAAAAGAACATGACTTGCTCTTTGCAATAACTGATAACTGATGTTTATTACTTAGTATTAGCATATTTTTAATAATGATTGCATTTTGGCAGCAGCTTATTTCTACTACTTTATTTTCAAAAATCTGTCCTCTTGCCTCCCTCCTTTCGGCAGAACTACCAGGGAACACAAGTGGGTCACTTCCCAGGTAACAGGCTGGATTTTACTTCGCTTTGCTTCGCTTTGGCAGACGTGTCCATGAAAGTTAGAGTAATAGCTGCCTTGAAACATGCTTCTGCCAGGGATTCAGTTACGGTGGTTTCAGACTGAATTTGTGATGTATCCACATTTCTCGCTTGTGCACTTTTTGCTCTTGCTTTGCTTCAGGTGATTGTGATGCCTGTATCAGGGCAGACTGACACAGTCCAAGGACACAATCAAAATAATAAAAACGTATCTAAAAAGAAAAAAACAATGACAAGCAAACGGAAGGAAGGGGAAAAGAAAGGTAAGAGTGCTTTCATGTTTATGGTCTTCTATTCAAACGAAAAAATTGTTAAACATTATGGAGTCCACAGTCTGTGCCGATCAATATTTCATAGGTCCTAATCAATCAAGTTTACAGTATGCACACTCTTAATTAACAACAGATGCAAAGTTTGAATTGCCAGGTTAAACTTCAGTGAAAGAGATTTAAATCAACATTTTTAAATCACCTTTTCTACTTCACTGTGGATTCTCACCTTGACTCACCTGTATGATTAAAGTTTTTTGTCATAATAAATACTTCTAAATTTCTGAAGCAGAGGAAAGATTTTGCAATCATGTATACATACACAGATAGTGTTATTTTCCACAGTGAGACTCATTTCAGCAGCTGGATCTTTGACACTTCACCTAGAAAAAAAGGTCTTGCTGATTAAGGGGTCCTAAATGCCTAAGTGTTTTAGAAACTCCTGATTGTATTGCCATTATTTGAGATTAATCAATTATTCTCTTTTAGCTTTATGTCCATATTGAATGGTAAAGTTGGAATTAAAAGCAACCATTTTTTCTCCAATTTAGAAAAAGAGTGGAGAATTTAAAGTTCTCTGGTGATTCAGCATTCTTGTATATTACAGATTTTTATTGTTCTTTTAGACTGTTACTATATAATTGCTATTTGGACATTGATTTATTCTTCACAATTACAGCTCCCTCATGTAGAACATTTTAGCTCCAAATAAGTTTTACATTCCAAGATTATCAGAACATGTTTTACGTATTTTTGCATAAGTATTTTTTCTTTGTATACAGGATGTATACATGTTATATCATTGCTGACAGAACAATTAATACTCTTATGCACTCGCCTTTCTGCTCCTAAGGCAAGAACAAGTATTTTACTGCATTTCTCTCCTCTCTTGCTTTATGGGTATGGGTAGACATTTCTGAGCAATCCTGTAAATTAGGTGACTTAAGTGGGAAACAATTATTTACATCTGTAATGTTTTACAGGATCTACTTCATAAAGATTTTAATTAGAGACCATAAAGACTTGAGCTTGGTTTTGGCACCATAAAAAGTAGTAACGTTATTTGTGATACTGAATCTCTTTATATGGGTATGGGAAGAGGAAAAGAACATGATAAGGTCATAACCAATGTGAAAGAAATATTGCTAAGCACAGTAAATACAAGGCAAATTTAATTACTTCTCCTAAATCAGATTGTATTAAGCCTCATGTAGAAGAAATTGTTGATACAGAAGAGACACCTGATCCAAATGAAATCCCTCCTGTGAAAACAGAAAAGGATACAAAAAGCAACAAAGGAGCACCAAAGAAGACTGATGGAAAAGCAGGAGTAGCAGAAATGCTTCCTCAGCCCAGAGAAAGCTTGGATAGGCAGGGAAAGAAACCAGTGGAAAAAGCAGCCTTGGGTAAACCCCACTGAACTTGAATGAAGAACATGATCTTGTCATGAACTGGATAGTAAATTCAAGCTGAGATTTCACGAGTGGTATACTAGCCATAATATTTTAACACAAAAGTTTATTAGTGGTCTTTTTGATAACATTTGTAATAGTTTCTAACTTTAAATGCATAGTAGATGGGCATTTATGTCTCAATACCAGATAATTGCACTGCAGGAATTTCTAAGTATCTGAAGAATGAACTATGTACTGACAATGTGAATTTAATTACTAAAAATGTCCATGATCAGCAAAGTTCATTAGAGCGAATTCTGTCCAGAATTGATATATTTACTACGCTGCAAAAGAATGTTGGTATCATGTAGATGTGTTAATCGATACTTCTAGGTCATCACAGCTTGAGGCAGACACCACTTACTTTTTCAAGGAAATGATACATGCAGTCCTCATAATGCCATGTGGGCTCTACTTTTCACCATGACCAGTTTGGCCACAATGGAAGAGCCCCAGAAACAGAACCATCTCCTATGGATGCAGGGGGGCCATAAGTAGGTTTTCTTTTGATCCAAGTTTCTTTCATGCAAACCTGTTTCATCAGGTGGATCAGGATGACATCTGGCCATTTCCTAACTCCAAGACTCACATGACTGCTTTTCAGTCCACTCCACTTCATTCCCTCGTGGTCATGGTGAGTTACTGTGGATATGGCACTCACCCTAAAGTATGGGCTGCCCCATATGTTCATTTCGCTCCACACTTTTTGCTACAGCACTCACATTTCTTCTAAACCCACTGTCCTTCTTCCCCGCAGTGACTCAGCCCAACTGTACCTCTTGTTCCACTCAGTAGCATCAGACTCACTGGTTTCTTATAAGAGAGGGTAGCTTCATGGTCCATGTAAGGACCATGTAAGGAATAAATATAGGCCAAGAATCTCTGCTGTGCTCATTCACATTCATTACTGTGTTCATTCACGTGTTTATGTACTGAGGATATAGGAAAATATGACTCATTTGGAGATGCTTAGATATCATGGAAGAAGCAGAGTTCAAGCTGAAAAACAAACCAATAAAAATAAAGGTCAGAATTTATTTTGTTATTATGCAAGCTGAGTTCAGCTTTAAAGTGACCAGAAATTATTAAACATAAGAGACAAAAATAAGATATTTTAATTACTAGGAAAATATCCTTATTGATTTCAACTCTTAGGAGGCTCAATCATATTGTACTGTCTTTTTGTAGATGGATTACTGATGAAAGATTACTGAATTCCACTGGCATTTTTAGGTGTTGGATCTATGACAAATGTGGAAATATTGAAAACATGAGAAATATCAGTTTCTAGTCCATCCTAATCCAACTGTTAGCATAAGAAAGCACAGAATCTGAATAGCATGTAAATGCATAGAAGTTGAAACACTGATATCTCTGATGGAAAGAAATCCATTTCCTTCTAGTAGAATTCCAATAGAATTCTATTCCACTCTTTTTAAAACCAACAGAAATATTTGCGCTGGATGAAATACTGGATAGGACAATTATATGTAGGCAATTAGAGTAATAACATCTCTGTAAACAATGTAAAGGATTTAAATAACTTGGATGGTTCACAGTGAGTGACAGACGGATGTAAAACACAACAGAGAAAAAATCAATATACTGACTGCTACACAAAATGGTAGTGGGAGAAACTTAAATACAGACAGAACTACAACTAAAATCATCCTATTAAATTTAGGTACTGTTTGACACACAGAGTTTGATTCAGTTCCACATCACAGCTTGTTCTACATGTCTATGTATTATAGCATGGCAGTGAAGGACATAAGCATAGGTCCCACAGAGAAATGCAGTAAGAAGGATTTCCAAGGTAGGAGACTTTCAAAATGGGAACCCAAATACATGTAATTTCTCATGCCACTGTTACAGAAAATAATAAATATCCACAGATGTGTAATTTCATCACCCTGCCAGAGTCTGGCCTTTCAAAAGCAGTACAAAACTGCAGGTTGTATCACACAAATCCCCTTCGCCGTGGCAATTATTTCAACCTGTCTTACATCTCTCAAAATCCATCACGTCTTACAGCTCCTTCGGGTTGGGAACCTGTTTCCCACAAACACCTACGGCAGTGTCTAAGTTATATATAGAACAGACTGTACCACTGAGAGCCTGATCCAATTCCTGCAAAATGCCACAGGGGTCTTTTCATTAGTTTTAATAGAAATCAAGATAGATCTCAGAAGAATGTTCTAAAAATATCCCAAATCTCAGATTACAAAGCCCATTTTGCTCACCATGAAGCTAATGGCATTTTTCTTTTGTGTCAGTGTAGCAGAATCAGGTCTTAGCTTTTTGCTGAAAAAAAAAAATCACTGTTTTCCTGATATTTCAACTAAAACTTCTGGAAATACCTTTAAAAATCTAAAATAAAATGTGCTAGAGTTTGGGGTTTTTTTTTTGTTAAATTTGGATGGTTCCTCAGAAAGCTGGAAATGGAGTCACATCGGTATTTTTCTACGGGAATCTATTTGCTATCCAGAAGTATAGTGCTGTTATGCATAGTAATAAGATAAACATCAAAGATTAACCCCCCATTTTTTCATTTTGATTACTTAAGCTGTAGTTGTTCACAAATGTATAACAAAATGTTCAAAATTAATATTAATAGAATTGTTGAATATACTAAAGCTTACTGTGTTACCATGGTTGAATAATTTCTTCCTTGTGTTTTAAATGTATGATTTATAATTTGTTCTCCATTATAAGTATGAAAAAATTGTTTCAGTTTCACTACATTACATAATGATAGAATGCAAATTATTTCTGTAGCAACAGAATGTCCCATCAAACACACAGAACCATTTGACTACATTTAAACTCAGGCACTGGTTGCAATATTTAACTGAAGTGCCTGTTCTGATTATTATGTTATTTCTCACCTAAATGTTCCATTTCAGCACACATTACTCTTTATATTCAAATTTATAACTGTTAGAAATTTATGTTCTTGTGTTATAACAGCTGTATTTAACAGTAAGGGAAAGTGTTGCAATAAGCTATATTATCTAATCACCTTCCAAAAGCACAAAGGGTGATTTTTGAAGAAGAAAGAAGATGAAAAAATAGGTTTTGCCTTCCACTGTAGTAAAGACATTGTGAGCTCAGCTGTCCTTGAGTTCTTCTGAGAATTAGTTCCGGATTTGTTAGCCAATTATTGAGGCAGATCTGTCTGTGGTCTGAGACTGACAACCATAATTTGGTAATACATTAAGCCATAATCTTTGAAGCAGCTAGTTGCAAACTGAGATTATCCTTAAACTAGCATAGGGTGAACTTCTGCTCTGTATCCTTGAACAACAACTATAAGGTCCATGCATGAACAATATTCCATTTAATCTGCACTTACACTGACCAGACAGACACCTGCAACAAATCTTTCCACACAGGTTTGGGGTTTATTTGTCTTGCTAAAAGGACATTAGGTTTTAATAATTGAATCAAAATGTTGGTCAGGGAAAAGAGCAGCAAAAGCTGTAAAGAGAAAAATGTTAGAGAAAACAGCTCTGTTCCACAAGGGCCTGTAGAGATGAAGGTACTATGAGAGAGATGGTGAGGGGCTGAGACCAATGGAGAGGAAGGAAGGTACCAGATTTGGTTGCAATCTTTTGCTGACTTTTGCCCTTGTTCCATCTCCCATTTCATTATGTGAGAAGTCTTTCCTGTAATCTCCTTCTGCAAATTTTCAAATGAAACACCTTTCCTTCCCTCTTTCCCTATCTTGCATCTTCTACCATCCATCAGATTTGATACGATCATTTCCATTTACCATTTCATCACATATACCAACAGGAGCAGAATAAAACCTCCTACTTAATTAGGCTGTGATTATGGCAAGGATAAGGAACTTTGTAACCTCCTTTCAGGAGGCCTGAAATCCTATCATATCTGTTATCAGAAAATGGTTTGTGAAACAGCTGTTAATGATTGACAAAGAACGGAGAAATATCGCTCACATGAGACTTGATCTGAGTGTGCTGGCTTAACCAAATACATTAAATCTACACACAACTTCATCAACCTGTGGGACTATTGGTGTGCTTAAATATTTTAGTGGCTCAGGGTATACAGTTCCTTGTAGCCCTGAATCCTTGCTATTAACTTCCCTAATTTGTTTTGGACTGTTAAGCGGAATTAAAAAGATAAACTAAACTAAATTGTAACATCCTGTCATAATGTCATTCCGATCTCAGAGAAGTTACTGAAAACACTAAGTCGTGACTAAGATGCAGAGATAAGGAGTCTCACAGGTTTACAGAATAAGATATGAGTCTAAAGCACATTAAAGAAAAAAAAAAAAAGGATATCGGATCTGGTGGGTATGGAATAAATGACTGCTCCAGACAGCATTTCTGGGTGTTGTACAAACATGCAAAATGACATGACATAACAATAGCTCACCACTAATGTCTTGTGTTTTTTGCCTTATGTGGTTAAAGACTTTTTTGTTTTTAAACTGCGGTAACAACTAAGCAGAAGGCCATTTTTTCTTTCATCTACAAGTGTTGGCAACACGTTGAGCACACCAGTGCAAGCTGCAGACTGGTGCTACATCTCTATATCTACAGCTCTTTACTATCTGCAGAACCATGAATTTTCTGAGACTTTACCAAAGCCATGCCTAGCACCCTATATCCTCCCAGATCTGTGATTTGCCCCTGGCACTGCGCTAGATACCTTTCATCATTTCTTGCCTAGCCCTAAGCAGCCTATCTCTTTCACATACTACTGCAGCTGGACATGATCTGGCAGTTGGAGAGCCAGAGAGCCACTAATTTATGCAACACACTTTCAAATGGCTTCCTCTCCATCAAAAAAGCCAAATCGGTAAGCAATTGCTCTCGTCACACCCTTCCCTGTCCCTGATGACAGTGACATTTGTGGTGAAAAGGCAAAAGGAATGTAAAGGAGGTGGCAGGGTACCTCCTGGAGGCCCTGGTTTAACCAGTGAGTTATGGTTCAACAAGGACCACAAATCATGCATAGTTATAGAGAGATCGTATCTACACCACCATGGTGCTTAACCACACAATCAGAAGGGAAACAAACCTCATTTGATAGATATAGCTGTGGAAAATTCAGGTCACTTTTCAGCTTGATCATAATCCATGTGCAAGTCTAAAAGAGTACAGAATGCAAAAGGAGAATACCAAGGCATGTCTACTTCTGTAGTCTTTTTCATCCGGAGATGACAATTTTGGAATGGTAAATATTACCTAGAAAGAAATCATTGTGTTTTCAAACAAATGCTCTTTAATTGGAAGCACCTATTCCAGGTTTGAAATAGAAAAGTGTGACTTACCCCTTCATTACCCCATTTCAAGTAAAGATTTTTCTGGCTTATTTTTATAATAGGATCTAGTTTAATGTTGATATTTGAAGACATATGATAGATTTAGCCCCTACCTCTTATCTTCCTGTGAATAGGGCTGTCTGGTGTTGAAAAGGAGAATCTCTTCTCAATCAAAAAAATCTCTTGCTGTTATGACCAGCAAAGATAAGATTATGGAAACACAAATGAAAATATCCTGTTTGAGCAATTGCTGATGTGGTTACCCTCACAAACTAAGCAACTAAGGTGCCAAATAAGGAACTCTGCAAAGCAGAGAAATGATCTGTAGTGCAGACTGTGTGTTTGTGACAGATGTTATGCTAATGTGACTAGGTAATTATTATTGCAATGTTATATTCAAACAGGAGGCCTCTTCAGAAAACTGCTGCAGCTGAAAAATGGTTGCACTGAAGGGTGGAAAATTGCTCCATTAGTCTTTGTTGCTTCCATGTGTCCTGAGCCCTGGAAAGTGTTCCAAGAGTGACTCAGAATTTCTGACATGACAATAACCTCATCAAAATGGGCAGGCATGAAATCTGACCTTCCTTTTTACATATGTATAATATAGTCACCCTATCCATCTCATTCTGTGTTCATGTTTCTTCCATGAACTGCTTTCTTCAAAAAAACAGCCCGCATGTTATGCAGGAATAGATTTGTTTTAGTTCCATGCTCAAAGGGATTTAAATATATTATCTGCAAATAAGCAAACTCACTGGCTATAATCTTTTAGGCAGCTTGTCCCAGGAGGTACAGATGAATAAATAGATCTTATCTCTTTGTAGGACTGGTAAAAAAGATTGCCAAAGATCTTTCAAGAGATAGGTGAACTACCACAATAAATTTTGTCTCTATATTATATTACTTCGCAAGCTAACATGTCTTTTTGTCAGTTGCACTGAATACTCTGTTGAGCAACCTGATTTCTTAGTATGTGACAACTACATAAAATCTATGTGAGAGCTTAAAATGGCTCTAACACCAAGTGGGGCAAAGCCAGCTTTCAACAAAACTCTTGTCAACAGATTGGTGGATGAAAAAGTAGTTGGTAGACAAATGAAAGTACATTAAGATAATACAGTTACATGAGTAGTGATAAAACACCTAATTCTCTTTTGTGAAATCCGAATTGTACTTCCAATCATGCTACTTCCCCTTTTCTCTTTTTCACACTGCAAGTTGTCTGGGGCTAGAATATTGTCCTGTTTTAGTACATATTATGTGTCAGTATCATCTGGGGCCTCTGGGCAATAGGGTGACTCAGGTAAATAATAACATACAACCAAGTTAAGTTCAGCAAGCAGCAGCGTGAATCACAAAAGCAATGGGCAAATGAAGCTGCTGACCTGAAATGCATTCACGGCCTGCTGGACATGTTCTGATTTTGCAATTCTATACTTTCATTACTAAATAAATAAATAAGTATTACAGAATCATGGAATCAGTTAGGTTGGCAAAGACCTTCAGGATCAGAGTCCAACCTATGATGCAACATCATCTTGTCAACTCGACCATGGCACTAAAGTACCATGTCCAGTCTTTCCTTAAACACCTCCAGGGATGGTGACTCCACTGCCTCCCTGGGCAGCCCATTCCAATGTTTAATCACCCTTTCTGTGAGGAAATTCCTCCTAATGTCCAACCCAAACCTCCCCTGGAGCAGCTTGAGACTGAGACACAGCTTGAAACTATGGTATATAGGTATTTATATATACATGAAAATAAATATTTCCCATCCTCCTGTGGGTAGAGCAATAACTTTCAGGAGACGTATGCAGTGATAGACGTATAAAGCGGCAAACACCGTGAGGGCTTCTCTCCCAACTCCCTGTCACGAGGTGTTAATCCCGCGTCCCGGCTCAGACCGCGGTTTCTGAACAGCTGCACCCGAGAGGAATTGGCCGCCGATCGCCGTGGCCCCGAACCCGAGGGAGGCTGGCGGGGTGGACGGGCCGAGTCCCGGCGGAAGGTACCGGGACACTGCTACGTGCTTCCCGGGGCCGCGCCCGCCGCTCCCGCTCCCCCGCCGGGCGCACGCGCACACGGGCCACGCGCCTCCTTCCCTGTCCCCCCTCCCCTCCCAGCCCGCGCCGATCCCAGGTCACGTGGCGCCCGGGGCGAGGCGCGCCCCCGCAACCCGCCGCCAGCGGGAGCGCGCGTGCGCGTGCACGCGCTGCACCAACGGCCGCCGCTTGGCGCAGTTCGCACCCGGCCAAGCGCGGCTCTCCCGGA